ACACTTCACTAAGCATGCCATTTTGATTTCTTGTTTTTGTCTGTGAGGCCACAGAGGCAGCTGGAGCACCTCTCTTCTGTTGAACCTCTTCTTTCTTTCCAGCCCCTCTCCTCCCCAGGGAGGTGAGCGTGGGCTCCTGCAACTGCTTGCTCAGAGCTGTCAAGGCCTGTAACCTGCTGCTCTTGGGCTTCCCGGCTGGACTGACAGGACCTGGCCGTGATCCAAGCAGGGCGAGGTCTCCAGACCCTTTCTGTCTCTGAGATGGGAGCAGTGAACTTTGTTCCAGTTTTTCCTGGCCCTCTCCCAAACAGAGTCAGAAGTTGTCTTTTTGAATTGCTTGCAGGTGAGAGGATTGAATAATTTCAAATGCATTTGAAAATAAGGTTATAACTAATGGTTTTATAATGTGACAAATGCAGTTTCTTGCTGCTAGGCCTGTGGTAAGAACGCTTTTGGCTTTTCAAAGGGTAATATTTATTTAACAAGCTTCAATTTGTCCATTGTGGTCTGAGCTGAAGGTATACTCTGACAGTTATGACTTATGATTATACTTTAATGGGCTGGTTGTTTCCGATGCCAATGGTGAATCTGTAGTTTCATCTGCAATAGGAAACACGAAGTCATGGGGACCAAGGTGGGTGGGACATAATTTAACCGGGGTGGGACAGTCCATGAGGTTTTGTGAAAAGTGCCTTAATGTCTGTTCGTCATTGCCCAGTGGCACAGCACCAGCTTAATATCCGACTTTCCTGGTGAGCCAGTAAATGAGAGAAAATCTGCAGATCAAGAAACTCCTTGTACAAGTAGGACAGTTGATTTACACAGCTAATTAACCAGTTAAGTTACTGACTAGTTCTGATTAATTAGTAGGTAATGGTAAGGTTCTATCAGATTAAACTGATCCCTGTAACTAGGACAATTATGAGCTTACAATCACTGTGATTATTTTTCTTGCATTGTTGCAAGAACCCCAGTTAGAGGTAATGCGATAATTTAGGACTATTATATAAGGCTGTCTCCTTGACACAGGACAGTGCTTCAAGCGCTGCTATGATTTGGGGCAATGCTATTCCTAATGCCTGGTAAGTGAGATATGTGATTAAGTAATCATTGATTTTTTAGGGAAATTTTTGTAGCTCTATCCCTAGTTTCATATCGCCTGTCAATTCATTTCCCATTGCCCAGTGCAGATTGTTGCAGGCAACCAAACAAACAGAAAGCAAGCAGAGAGGTTAAAGCTGGTGACCATTGTGAGAAATGTAAGCAGAAGGAAGGCAAAAAGCTTATTTTCCAGGTTGTCTTGTAGCCCCGACTTGGCGCTTGGTAAAGACAAATTTTTTTTTTGAGTAGTCTGTGTCAATGCCATCTGAACAGGAGCTGAGCTGTGCACATTTTGGGTGCTTCTGCAACACAAATAGTTTGAGTCATGTTACATATCTCAAATATTTTGCTCAGAAGCAGGAAGGCATATGCCCACTCTGGATGTCATCTGAGGGATGCCTGGAAGGCATGTCTGGCAGGCTTATACCAATATCATTGCAGATCGACATGCTCACTGTAGCTTGTAACTGGTAAGAGACAGCGTAAGACCTTGTGGATTTTGACTTCCACAAGAGGAATATTACTAATCAATTAAGATTGTTTTCTGCAATTAAAGTCATTGGAAGCTCAGTGGTTTTTCTTCCATTTTTTCCACCCTTAACATTGCCTTTGATCTTTAACAGAGACATTTCTATTTATTTCAGAAGAGATGATGTAGTCAAATGGAAATGATTGCAAGATATTTCTGATAAGTCACTTGGTGTGTTTCCACATTTGTTGCATCAGCTATTACTCATGTACTTATTTGTTTATTACTCTTCTTGAAAGAGCAGGAGTGAAGTAGGACTAATAAAGCTATGCAAACTGATATTTATAGTCCAGTTGTTGAATCAAAATAAAAAACCCTCAAAAACTCAAATTAGAAATTTTTTAGCTGAAACCACTTTTGACATATTGTACTAAATTCAGACTGAAATTAAACGAGTTGTTTCGGGCACCTCTAAGAAAAGCCGAAGAAATGTAGATATGGTTTACAAACTGATAATGTAAATCCATCCCCCTTGCTTTTATGTTTTATCCATTATGTTTTATCCTCCAGGAAGTGAGAGATTCAAGTTTGTTTTCTCCTTTATAAAGCAATTTGAAGTGGGAGAGGTTTCACTGTGCCTTGTTTTATTTTCTCTCTTTGGTTTGCTCCACTTTGCAATTTTAGTGAATTGAACATCCATCGCAGTAGACTGCAATCCTGGTGTATGTTTTCCTTGTGGATGCATTTATCTGTAGGCTGGAGGGTTTCCCTCTCCTTCTATTCCTAGATCTTATCTCGTTGGAAATGGAGAGGCTTAGGAAGAGGGCTGGAATCCCACATCCTCACCTTGGTGCTTAGGGAGCACCTTTGTGGGTGAGACCCTGCTTCAAATTCAATGTCCACCTAAGTCAGGACAAGGATTCACACATGGGTGTCTCCAGTCTGTAATACAGCACCCTGAGTGCTATGCAATGAGGCGGTCTGGGCCAACTCTTCTCCTGCTGCAGCTGTTCCAGTTAGGAATCGGGACACACTCCTGGTGGCATAAACTCAAGTGTTGTCTCTTACTAACCTCTCGCTGGCTTGCCAAGCTCCTGAGCTCAGGTGTAGCTTTCGTGGGCTGGGAAGCTCTTCTGCCAGCAAAACCGCCAGCCCTGGGCAGGCTCCTGGGCTGCCATGGTGTGACCACCTACCATTGCACAGAGGGCACGCGAGGGGCACAGCTCAGCAGGGGATGCTAACTGCAGCCCCTGGGAGGGGAATATTGAGGGGTAGGGGGCTATGGTTCCCAGAGACAGTCCCTGCAGATTCATGCTGGACCATCCAGTAAGATAGGTATAGACTAGCTCTACTTGAGTGTCCGTATTTATCCAGCTCCTTCTCCTAATTCACCTGTCTGTTTACAAAGAATAGATGGTTTTCCCACAGTGCACCTGCAGAAAATTGAAAAGAAACACTTATTTTACAGTAGTGCAGAGATAAACAGGTTATGCCCTTCTGAAATGTTGGTTTTGCAACAGTTGAGTACACTTGAGCGGACATAAAAATCCTAGTGCTATTTCACAGTGTAACTAATCTCACTCACGTTGGGTTTACTTAGGGGAAATAAACTCAGGCTATGTGTTTGAGAGTTATTTCTGCAGTGAATGTGTGATTTTTTTTTTTTTTTTAATATCTTTCTTTACACAGGGAATAATAAATTATGCTCTTAACTAGAATGAGACAGAAGTCAGTGCTGCTTTTGAAAATTGGATGCTGGCTCAAAGATTGCTTATCCAGTTTCTGGAAACAAAACAAAAGTTTGCGTTAAAGTCACTGAGAAGGTTCTGCTGAAATCCATTTCAGCTCCTTTGGCACAGAGTACGCAGGCGGAAACACTTCCTTGCCAGTTAACTAGCACCTCTTCTTGATCCTGGTACCGTGGCTGATTCAAATCTGTGCAGTTCGTATAATTACACCCCATTCTCCCCAAACCCAAAGCACACATGAAATGAAGAAATGACAGGAAAAAGGCCACATGTCACAATAATTACTATAATTTGGTCTGTTATTCCCTTGCTTTCTGGCTCGGTATTTGAGGCTTGATGTTAATTTGCTTGTATAACTAAAGGTGTTTCCTCTGCTTGTTTATACTAGCTATGATTTCTAAACATCCTTGAAATTATTTGCCATAACATCTCTCCCCATCATGATATTACTTCAATTTGAGCCACTTATGGAAAGTGCTTCTTTCTATTTTTGAACAGAAACAGTTGGGAGCCAGAAAAATATGTGTTTGTTTACCTTTCTATTTTTGGTTTGAAATTGCTGGAAGCCAGTAGGTGGGTTTTTATTTTCTGTTTTAAGATTCTATTTTCAAACTAAAACAAATATTATGTATGAGGAATGGCACGTATCTTAAATTACTGGTTTTAGTAACAGGAAAAACTTCTTGTTAGAAATTCTTCTGAAGTGTGGCTCTATTTCTGGAAATCCTTTCTTGCTCACTTCAACAGTCTTGTATCGTCTCCCACTCCACTCAATGATTCTTTCATACCCAGAGGGGTGAGTTTTATAGGAACTTTGCTGGCACTAAAACGTTGCTAAGTTGTCCTTCATCTTGTACACTGCACCGATTCTTTCGTCAGCTGTCCATTCTACCAGCCAAAGGAAAATCATGTAGGGAGTTGACTATTGGTTGTGTATACCAAATGAAATCACCTGAACTGTCACCTAAATGGATAACTACTAACTTTGTGTATCTTTGGAAAATAAACCCTAGTGTCTACTGTTGGACTGCACAGATTTTTCTCTCCAGAATGGAAAATTGCAATTCATTATAAATTGGGTAGTCCAGTATGACATCCCATCCTGTTCAGGAAAGCCAGCAAATTACCTAATCAGAATTCCAAGAAAACACTGGGAATTACTCAGCCAAAACAGAAATCAAAATCTTATAGATTTCTTTCAAAGTAAAAACCAAAATGAACAACAACAACAACAAAAAAACCCAAACCAACCGCAGTTTTATTTATTCTCTATGCATTTCCTAAAAAAAAAAAAGAAAAAAGAAAAAAACAAACAAAAAACCCCCACTCAACCCCAAAACCCAACCCAACCAAACAAAAAGCAACCCCCCAACCACACCCATGAGCTTTATTCTGTTTATTTCATAGAAAACCTTGGATAGCTTTGAGTTAGTGTTCCATACCACCGGTTGACTTTAAATCAGTAAAATCAGTTCACATAACATAGCGTTATCCTTGGAATAGGTCTTTTTTTTTTTGAGGGGGTGGGCGGAGTGGGGAGGGTAAAGTTGGCAGGTCAAAGCATATTAACACATTTTTTTACTCTACTGCCAAGACTTATGGTATATGAAAATATAATACAGAACTTTAGTAAACAAAACTTTCTCTTTTTACAGCTTTCCTACTAAGCTTTGAAACCATTCATGGAAGCTGATGGCAACGCTCTCGTAAGTATAATTGAAGTTATGCCAGAGTTACTGATCAGCTGAAGAGGTCGTATGTTGGGTTGTGCCCTTGTAATCACAGAAGACTGTGGACAACATCAATATCCAAACAAGATCTTGCTTATAGGCCAGGCCAAGTGGCAAGACTGCCACAGGCTGCCCCAGTTCTGCTCTGAAGATGAAATGAAGTCTATTGTATGATGCCGGGGTGCCTGCACTTCCAAGTCCTACCCCTCAATGGATAAGAAAGCAGTAACTTAGGATACATGAGCTTAGCAAAGGATTTAGCCACACATCTCTCTAACCCTTGAGAAGCTTAAGGAAAGTACAGCTCTGTAGAAGATGAATTGTTGATCATAGCTGCCTTCGGTGCCTTCTCAGACTCATGCATTGAGTCAAACTTCATGAGACGTGAAGTCTGGTCTTCGGTATTAGCCCAATGCCCCTGCTTTTGCTTGTAAAACAATTTTTTTTCTTTCCCCCAAAACAGCCTCATGCACCTATTTCACCCCATTTTTTTCTCCTGGGGCATTTGCAGGCTGCAAGCCCCTCAGTCTCTAGGCAGAAGCATCCCCTGGGGCGATCCTTGACTCTTCCTGGCAGCTCCCCAGAGGGATGCTGCCCACCCGAGTTTGGTTCCCAGAGACGATTGCTCAAGGTCACCCATTTGAAAGGGAGGCTGGAAACATATAGCCCCCATGCTATATATTTGTAAATCCTTGCTGTCAGGCAAGGACAAGGTAAGGGGAGCCACAAGGGTGTGGGCCCGAGAAAGCTCTGGCAGCTTCTAATAATTGTGATCAGCTGCCCCTGACCCAGGGTGTCTGGAGCCTTTGATGCAGCTCCTTCTGATTAGGGAGGGTCAAGCACCCTTTAACTGGTGCTCGGAGGGACCTAAGAACCAGGCCCAGAGCACAGCCCACAGACCCAGCAATTTGTACATCAGGGTCTGAAGAAGGAGCAAAGTAAGGGGGCCTCAGTTGAAATCATGCTGCTGCAACAGTCTTAGACAAGGTGGTAACAGGGCAGTTTCCCCAATATATGTGGGAGCAGCTGTCCCTGCTAGGGCAGAAGCTTCCACACAGACTGAGCTTCAGATGGCGGATGCAGGCTTCCAAGTCCCAGACTGCAGGAAGTGCCTGGGACCTCTCTCTGAGGCCAGGAGAGACGGCCCTCTGCCCTGCAGGACATGCGCCGTCTTGGAGGACCTGTGCTGGCAAGTGGAGGAGATATGGGAAGAAGTGAGCAGACAGCGGAGCATCAGAGAAAATGAAAGGGAGATAGATAGGGTCTTCTCTGAGACACAACAGCTTGAAGACCCTCAGTCCCCACCTGCAGTGGAGAAGCAGGCAGTGTCTACCCCCGCTATCAAAGTAAGCAAAACCTCTGGAGAAGGATGGAAGTTGATGACTTCTAGTACCAAGAGGAAGGCTCCTGCCCCACCTAAGAACTTGCAGGTGCAAAATAGGTTGACTGCCCTCAAAATTGAAGAGGAGCCAGATGTGCCTACTAGCAAAGGACCTGGTTCACCTAACCGTAAACCATGCAAGGCTACCAAGAAGAAACAGTCAGTAATCACAATGGGTGACTCCCTGCTGCGGGGGACAGAGGCACCCATCTGTAGGCCCGACCAACTATTTAGAGAGGTTTGCTGCCTGGCAGGGGCCAGGATCCAGGATGTTGTAGAGGGACTGCCAAAGCTTGTCCAGCCCTCTGACTTCTACCTCTTGCTGTTATTCCATGTGAGCGCAAATGATACTGCCAGGGGAAACCAGTATATGCTGGAAAGCAGCTTTGCAGAAAATGTCCTGGGAGCCTTGGTGGACATCAAGTTGAACATGACCCAGCAAAGTGCCCTTGCTGCAAAGAAGGCAAATCCTTGGCTGCATTAGACAAAGTATTAGCAGCAGGTCAAGGGAGGTGATCCTTCCCCTTTATTCAGTGCTGGTGAGGCCACACCTGGAGCACTGTGTCCAGTTCTGGGCTCCTCATTACAAGAGAGACATGGACATACTGAAGAGAGTCCAATGAAGGGCCACAAGGATGATTAAGGGGCAGAAGCATCTAATATATGAGGAAAGACTGAGTGAGCTGGGACTGTTTAGCTGAGAACAGGCTTAGGGGGATCTTATTAATGCATGTAAATACCTGAAGGGAGGGTACAAAGATGATGGAGCCAGGCTCTTTTCAGTGGTGCCCAGTGGCAGGCCCAGAAGCAATGGGCACAAGCTGAAACACAGGAGGTTCCCTCTGAACATCAGGAAACACTTTTTTATTGTGAGGGTGACCGAGCACCAGCACGGGTTACCCAGAGAAGCTGTGGAGTCTCCACCCTTGGAGATATTCAAAAGCTGTCTGGACATGGTCCTGGACAACGACAACCGGCTGTAGGTATCCTTGCTTGAGCAGGGGGGTTGGACTAGATGACCTCCAGAAGTCCCTTCCAAGCTCAACCATACTGTGATTCTGTGGAAAAAGAGGATCTCTAAACTGGCAGAAGTCTCTCACTGAAGTTGTCACTTCTCTTGTATGTCTTTGCTCATCCATGGAGCCTGCCTGGCATAGAAGTGGCTGTGAACAATGCTCAGTTGTACAGCTCCCTTTGCAACTGGCTCACGGGTGTATTTGCCAAGTGGAGGAGTAATGGATAGCAAGCTTGAAGCCTGCATTGTCCTACAGGATCACTCATCCTGTTCAGCCCTCAGGTCTCAGTAAACTGATGAGTAAGCCAAAACCTACCAGAAGAGATTAAAACCTAGCCTGTATTGCCAGCCTTGCACAAAAATGACAACCCTCCTAAAGCTGCAAATAACTGAATGTTTTCCATTTATTTCAGAGCTTTTTGAGGGTTATTGCTCTTGGATTTTCCCTGGTAACAACAAGAGCTAGAAATAGATCTGATTTTTTTGGTTTGTTTTTCAGTTGAACCTGTGATAATGAAATAAATCATTTGCCATCAGGAAATTGAGCTTTATAGAGAAACATCCACCATTGTCAGAAGCATAGTAAAATCATGACATTTGGTTCAGTTTCGGATTGTTCTAGTGACTATGTCTGGTAGTTACAGTACATTCACATCTGAAACTGCTGTCACACCCCTAGTTGGTACCATTGGTTTTACTGGTAATAACTCTGCCCTCCACAGTTTTCTCTTCGTTCTGCACTGGTGTTAATGTCTCCTGTTAGGAGTGAAACTTAAAAGTATCTCTTAATCAATGTTCACCCAGGTTCACTGAAATGAAAGACTGTTGACTCTCATAAGCAAGTTTTCAGAGGAGGAAACTATAATTTACTTCTTGAGGAAAGGTTTGCCACTGGACACTTGCTAATGTGTTGTATTCTCATGGAAAACTGAATCCAAATCCTGCTGGTGAGGCATTTAATGAATTTTATGGTAGATTCATTTAAATATAGGTTTTCTATTGGTTTAAAACAGTTTTTCTGAAAATTGTTTGTTTATTTCATAAAATATCTATCTGACTCCAAACACTGGTGCTTTGGAGAAAGAGGTTGCTTTTGTTTGTTCATAAATCAACAAAATTTGGGAAGGCAATTTTGTGAACAACACCAGATTTCATTGCTGCAGTCTGGGATTAGAGGTTTCTTTTGTGCAAAACAGATTTTTTTTTTTTATCATCTTTTATAAGATGATGCTGGGTTTCTGAACAGCACTAAAAACATTTAAAAGCTTCTGAATTCCAGGTTTAGGATTAATTTGTTGAAAATTTACTTCAGCTCTCAGGAATACTGGGAAAGAAAACCAGAAATGTATCTTAATTCACGAAATCTCACTCAGCAATTATTTTATTACAGATTTATCACTGATTTTATCCAGGCAAATTAAATGCCATGCTGGCTGGGGAAACTGCCCTTCCTTCCCCCATTAATTTCCCAACTCCTCCCACAAAATATGAAGAGATGGCGATCCATCACCGCTGTCAACTTGCAGCAGGATACCATCATTGCCGCTGAATAATAAATGCACATTTGTAAATGCTTTTTGCTACCCCGAGCTCTTACCAGGTAATCAGTTTTTTCCTCAGTCTGTATATAAAGCGGATCCTAAGAGATGATTTACATAATATGGATATTAACCCTTTCTTGACAGGTGAACCATAGACCATGTTATTTTGCTTTAGATCATCAATAAGGTTGGTGGAAAGATGTACTTCTTCCTCGGTTGTTTACAGAGAGCCACATCCTGTCTCAGTATCGCTCTTCTTGTTGTACAACTTTATGCTGGTTAAAGATGAAATGACCCCACTGTCGTATCATTGAAAAGATGTGATGTTGCCCCACTACATAGTTCTTGTGCAAGGAGAGCTGATTCATATTTATTTTTCTTAATATCACTTTGGGTAGCTCTAAAGGAAAGTAATTAGTGTGACTGCGTGACCCATTGATTCACTGAGGCCCTGTATTATTTCCGCGTGTCCTAAATACTTTCTTTGGAATGAAGACACAAAGGCTGGCCCGTGTAGGATGGGGAAATAGTGGAGCCTCCAATAGAGCCGCTGTATTTTCTCATTGCTTTTCTTTGTCTGTTGTCATGGAGAATAGTCTGAGAGAGAGAGAGGCAATGGTAGAATTTAAAAAAAAAAAGAGAGAAAAAAAACACAAGGAAAAAAGAATACGTGATGATTAAACAGGAATCTGTGATTATTCATTCCTGGTGAAGCCTCCCACAAGTGTGTTGTTCAGGTCATCTCAAATAGGCACCAGATAAGCACACGGCTGCGATATGCGGTTCTGCACTCTGTGATACATGCTGCAAAGATCACTGGTTAGAGAAAGTTCTAGTTCTTGTAAATACTGATGGCAGTGGTCTCTTCTATTACTGTTTCCAGATGGTGTGGCTTTACTCACCTTTACTTTGCCTGTGAGAAGATCCATCAAATCCTTCAAGAATAATATGAAATGGGGTTTTCCTGAAAAGCTGGCTGGCTAGGCAGAGGGGCTGCATTAGGGATGTTCATAGTGTAGCTCTGCAGCGGATCAGGTAGTTACCGGCTTTGCATAGCAACGTTGCGGCCGAGCGTATTAAATCATACGTCACCTTATCCAGCATTTGTTATCTGGAGGCTTCAAAACCTTCCTAAAAATAGAAAAAGGTGAATGCTTTTGTTCCCATGCTAGAGACGGAAAGGTTGAGGCAAAGAGAAGTCAAGTGCTTTGTCCACAATCGCACGACCAACCAGCCTGTCTGGGGAGAATTTACTCCAAAAGCCAGACTTTAAATTTCTAATGACCTCTTTTTCAGTCCATGGTCTTCTGTTTTAGTTTCATTTTCTATGTGTTTATGTGGGATGAAATATAAAGACTGCAAATGAGTAAATATAATTCAATTGCATTATTTCTGCAGTGACTAAAACTGTCATATATGGCATGGCAAACTTCTGGCATATTTATGTTTTACACTTTGGATAATCTGCTAGGTTTGTGTGGTGGTTTGTTTTTTTTTTTTTTTATTAAGAAATGTTATGAAACTCTTATATCGGGGAAATACATTCTCTGCACTAAATAAAAAAAGATGAGTGGAAAATCCAGTTTTCTTTTCTTTTTTCAGGATTGCTTAGAATGAGCTAAAGGACAATCGAACACCTGGCATGTATTTTTAATCTCCCCATGTTTGTAAATCCCTCTTGTGGAGTGTAATGAAGCATTAAAATGCTGGAGTTCTACTTCCATTTTTTAACTTCTGAACACAGAATACAATTCAGGCAAGCACGTAGCAAAGTAGAAGCTGCCCGTGGGTGTGAAACAGGAAGCACTAGTAGATAGACACATGTAAAATAGAGTTACGTTTGCTCTTGCTCAACTAGATATACATCAATTTTAATTAACACGTTTTATGCTTCAGCTACTAACGTCCCTTCAGCAGTGAGTGGGTTATGCGTTTCCATCCTGCATATACCACCAGCATCACCACCACGTCCTTCTCTATCTTCCCCCTCCCCTTTCTACACAAATGTTGCAACACAATCTGAAATTTCCTCTTTTCTTTCCTTCCTGCATTTCTTACAGGTTCCCTTGCGTCAGAAGACAAAAAAGAAAAGTCAAGGTAATGAGAGATTGTTTTTTCTTTTCTCTTCTGGGTTCCTCTTTTGTTATTTTCTTAGTATGTCTTATTCTTGGGAGGGTGAGGATTTTATACTGCTACTCAGCTGGTGGAAGGCTGCTTTTTAACTCCACTGATTCTTGCACCGATTCTGAGAAAAATGACAACAGGCTGTTCCTTTGGACTAAATCCTTGTGGTATGTTAATTGAATCAAAGCTGGAAATCAGTGAGGTGGAACCAGCTGCGTGCACATACACACACACACTAGCAGTTTTCATGCACTTGGCATAATAGTTTTCTCTAGCTGACTTAAATAGATGTATTCTTTTCAGTGCAGCTGTGTGAAAGGAAATATATATGCATGCTTCTCTTAAAAGGGGATCAAAGGATATATTTTTAATTTACAAAAACTTGTGTATGGTTATCTTAGCATTAATTAGTGTCTGCATTATCTACAGCTTACTATTTTGTTTCTGCACATCAGAGTGCCTTTCAAATGAATGTGTGTTACTGTCACAGCCATTATAAAACTCAACTACTTCTAAGTATATTTTAAGATATGCTTGGACGACTTGCTGAGATTGTTAAGTAAGGTTGATATCTTTAATTGGCAGCAAGATCTTTCCTGATAATGCACTTTTAAACAAGCAGAACACTGTATTTTTAATGGCACAGGGTTCTTTATAATGAGCCGACGGAGGATATCGTGTAAAGAGCTGGGGCAAGCCGATTGCCAAGGATGGCTCTACAAAAAGAAGGAAAAAGGAGCTTTCATTGGCAACAAATGGAAAAAGTTCTGGTGCGTGCTGAAGGAGTCATCGCTGTATTGGTACAGCAGTCAGCTGGTGAGTACAGCGTCCATCCAGCTCTGGGTGCCGGGCAAGCAGCATCTGCTGGGACCGGGAGAAGGGGAGCTGGGGTCACAATTTAAATGCACCCTGGAGATGTACAAATGACTGGGTTTATTTCTCAGCCCTGACATTTCTTGTAATCCGGGAAGTGTCTATGTGAATGTGAAACATGCAGAAAACTATGTGTTTTCTAGTTCAGTAAGTACTTGTGAAATGTTAACTTGCTGTCTGTTCTGCCCTTTAAAGAGCTGCTCTTTGCAGGCGTTGGTGGCATTTGAATTTGGGAAAGGTTTTCCTGGCTTGGGCAGTTTGCAGACACTCGCTATCAAGACTTAAAACAGGAACACTTCTTCACTAATTAGTTTAATTTTCAGAAGTCTCTCTCCTGTTCTCTCTCCCCGCCCTTCCACACTGAGATTAATCTGTTTATTTGTTTGCTTTTTTGTTCGGTTTTTTTTTCTCCTCCTTTTTTTTCTTTCTTTTTTTCCCAGTTTGCACTGGCAAGCTTGCAGGTATGAGCACTGTCACTTGGTGATGTTTTTACTCCTGGTCTTGCTGGTGTCTCATCCAGAGCATTGTAATAATCACATTCTGCTGATTTTTAACTTCCTGCTCTGACGAGTTGATGCTAAAAGTAAAATCTGCAGGAGGACACAATGTTTTGAATTCAAGGTCCAGCTTTCTGTTCCGAGGATGAGCTTTCCTCAGGACAGCCGATATAGATGGCATTTCTCTTCCTGCTAATTCAGCCCAAATAGCCTACTCCACTTACAGTGCGAGTGGGAAACAGTCTGAGACAAAGAACAGCAGGCCCTGAATTCTTGTAATCAACCGAAGAACTAGGAATTAAAAACTGAAAAGGGTGGTGGGGGGGGAAGACATAGTGAGAAATCCAGAGTAACCCTTTTAATGAAAAGTTATGGCTGAGTGCAAAGAAGCTGTGAGCCCTAGGGAACAGCTGGCTTTACTCCAGGCTGTTTGCTACAGCTCGGCTTGACTGGACAGAGGTGGTGTCTTGCCCATCCTAGGAAGATTCAGACATAATTATTCTCTTCACTTTGCTCTCTTGCACTTCTACCTCTAAAAAACCTCCTATCATGTTCGAATGATGGACGGACAGAGCCCAGAATTGGGGTGTGCAGAGGATTAGGGGACATCAGCAACAAAAGTTGAAACTGAGGAGCTTCAGTGTGGAGTTCTGGACGGGCATCAGGTTTCCTAAACGCAAATGGGCTGCTCTGTAAATCAGCATCTCCCAGGCCCAGCAAAGGATGAAAGATTAAAGAAACCCTTATTAATTCTTAGAACATTCTAAGAATTTAAATGCAATCTGGATTGTTTCCACTTGTTTATTTCTATTGCAGTAATCCCCATTAAAAATCTTGCTAACTGTTTCGTTCAAGTTACAAATAAAACAGTTTAAACCGTAAAAAACCACCCCAAATCCTAAACAAAACTTTACTCATGTAAAGAGTATTTCATATTCTCCCTTCAGTTGTGGATACAGTGTTGGGATTTTTTTAACAGAATAAAAACTTTGACCTTTCTTAAATGGCATTTAAACATGGTATTAGCTATTTTTTGGGGGGGAAAAGTGAAAACAACTATGATGGTCTTGGGCTGTTGTTTTTTGTGGTGTTGTGGTAGTCTGATTTAGCTTCCTTTCAAGACCAAGTCAAACACATGCATGAGAGAAAGAGAAAGAAATAAAAGAAACAGGAAAAATAGACAAAAAAAAAAAAAAAGGCTTTGTTTTTCCAATGCTTGCAATATTTCTGCTTGAAAGACATGGCCTGGCAGAAATACTCATCAGTGGCATTAATACCCTCCAAACCCTTATTAGCATTGACTATTCTAAATCACTGCTTGCAGTTGTACTTCTGGCCAAGCAGTACTAAGAAAGGTGAGCTGGCTGGCTGACATGAAGTTGGGAGGAAATAAAACGAGGCAAGATTAGGCAAATTTTGCATGCTGGGAGGAGAAGGGTCGTGGGGGAGAGGAGCAAAGTCGTCCAATTCTGTTACTTCTTGTGGCCTGGCTAAATTCCCCTCTTGGGATCCAGAGCAGCCATGGTCATGCTGATCCCAGTGCTACTAAACAGCATTCACCATTTGGGGGAACTCGTCCTTTTGGTTCATGCCTGCTCTCCTGCTGTCACTGATGCCCCAAAATGAACAAGGCTGAAGAACGGGTGGCAGCCTCATTCCAGTTTATTTCATATATTCTAAAGAGCTCCTATGGCTTCAAAATACTGTTGGCTTATGTCAGCACTGACTTCTCACCTATCACAGTTCTTCTTGTAAACATGCTGGCTGGTAGCATCTCTTTGCTTTCAACTTCTGCTGACTTTTGCAGACTATTTTACATTAAAAACCTGAGGTTTCTTTGGACAAGTTAAAGTGCAACCTCTGCATGATTGTAGAGTCAGGCAATGTTTGCAGAATGGCAGTAACTAGGGGGTGTGGGAAGGAGAGGAGGTGTCCTTTGCTAAGATCTGCTTACTTAGATTGATGAGACCCAGAGCCATGCTCAGAGTCTCATCTGAGATGAATTAGACCCATTGTGTTTTCACAGATATTTTCACCTCTAGGTTGACGAAGCAGAAATAGCAGTGACATATTCACCGGTTTGCTTGATATTTCTTTTTACTTCTGTATCTGGCCTGGCTTTAATACTGCCTGCACTTCCGCTGCCTTCAGTGGAGTTAATCCTCGGTCCCAACAGGCCATCCAAGATGACAATCTTAAGTTCACAGTTGTGTTGAAGGAGGAGGAGTCCTGCTCCTCGCGTGCCCGAGGCTTACCGTGACAGGCCCTCTTTGAGGCTGAAGCGAAAGGTGGTGGCGGAGGAGTGGGGCTGAGGTCGAAGAAACCGGGGCACGCTGGTTGCCTCCAGCTCTGCCCGGCCAGTTTTGTTCTTGTGAGAAATGAGCGCGTTTTATTTGTGGCTGTGTGGAAACCACAGTCAACCAGACACTGGCAACGGTAGCATAGCAACAGGGTGCTGGACCTAACCTTTTTTTCTAATGGAGATGGAGAAAATAGGGAGGAATTTGTATGGGAATGTGCGGATTTGGGTAGGTAATCTCAGCTGACATCGTGTTCCCAGTGAAGTCTGTCTTCAGGCGCCTCCAAAGCTCTGGATGTTTCTGTCACTCTGATTTAATTTGCCTTCAAGCCACTCTGGTTCTGGGTCTTGCACATGAGGCAGTTTGGGGTAGGAGATATAGGACACTTGTGGTGACATTTGTAGACAGGAGCTCCTTCAATTTAACATAAAATACATTGTGAAAACCACAGCTCAAAAAGAAAAAATAACAAAATGCCAAGAAGGGCCAGCAACAGCAGATCAGAGACCCTGAGAGTCAAGCTTCTCCTTCACTGAAAGCAAACCAGAGCACACAGGCAAATCCAAATTAGCTTTCGACCAGCTAGCTGAGGTACTGGGAGTGGTGAAGTTAGGGCCCCGGTGGTCTCAGCAGGCTTGGGTAGACTGCCGTGAAACCTCTTTCCACGTATGTTTGCTCTTTCTATAAAAAATGGATACCACATGAAGCAGGTAAACTTTTGTTTGCAGCATGGACGCGCCCCCATCCTGGGGAGGGGGAGCTGCTTGGACTAGGAAGAAACACAGAAGGATTGGTTTTGCAGTGGAAACACAAAAAATGTCAGAAAATGAATGTGAGCAGTCAGACTTTCTGGGTGCATTCAGGAACACCAGACTCCTTGGACAACTGCTCTTTGTTAGCGTTTGGTTCCCTCTTTCGAGTACTGTTCTCTGTAGGCAGCTGCCTTGAAGACAAGTGTTTAAAGAGGACAGTGTGTGATCCTGCCTACCCCTTTAGCAGTTTTAGTTCTCATACAGAAACCCTGGAGTGAATCAGTACTCCTACATATGAAGAGGGGTAGAGGGGTAAGAAGATCATCACATATCATCATAGGCTCCTGGCTCCTTGCACTTGTTGAGACTATGATGTTGGACAGTGTTGGCTGGAAAGGGACAGAGGACTGAATGCTTCTGTCTTGTGGGTCTTTAGGATAGCTCGGCTGGTTTTCCAAGAGAGTTGAAATACAGTTTTGCAGGATGTGTTAATGATGGTTGTCATGGGGATTCAGCTGAAAAGAAATATAAAATCAAAGGGTTGCAGGCTGTGATCTACTGTCACTATTTATATTTGGGGTGTTTTTCCCCATTCACTGCATTTAAATTGGTCCTCACTCCAACAGTTTTGCCAGGAGCTGTATAATTGCAGTCTTTTAAAACAGAAACCTTTCAACTTTGAGTTATAGTTGCTGCTTACGTGAATGATAAAAAGTCATTGATGTCGGTTGATTGTGCCGAGGGCTTCAGGGACCTCTGATCCTACATGTTACACAAATTTTTCACAGTTCTATAGGTTGCCTCACTGGTGTACTAGGCAGAGAGAAAAAAGACTAAAAAGGCTTGAGGGCTGAACTGCTCCTGGGTTTTCTGGGGGCATTGCTGAAACACTGTGATGAAGCCATCAGGAGTACCCTGAATTGCAGATTGGAGCTCTTCCACAATAACTAGACGTTTTCACTTTATAGCACTATTTTTTAAAATCTTTCTGCATCATTACATTCACTTTAAATGTCGAAAAAGGTCTATTAAATGATTTACTAAATCTCCTAAACCACAAAATTTAGACAATGTATTGAGGCAAGCTAAAAAGGACATTAGCCTCTTTCATTGGATTCGTGCATTATGTTTCATAAATATGTTCGAATTTTTTTTTGAGTGAAAAGTTTTTTCTGTGAAAAAGTGGTTATTTTCTCTTTTGCCCGAAACATTTGCAGAGACTGTTATTATTGAAATTATTTTCCTACAATTGGGCATAGGAAAAAGTGCAGATTTATATGTTAGGCTAACCTGCACAGGAGATAACAGCTTATTCTTTTAAACATCCTGATTAAATAGGAAACAGGTCAAGGTTCTTTTAATCTGGGTTTTTTAGGGCTATTTTACAGCGTTGCAATAAAATCTGAAGGAAGTTTGAGTGAAATGTGCGAGTTAAATAATAGCATGCTTAAAGTCACGTTAAAGATAACATTTCAGAGAAAAGAAAACATTTAGGACTTCTGTATACTTTTAATATTTTAAAATGTCATTTTTATCCCAAGAATGACCAAAAAATGACTTCCACATGTTCAGTTCCTAGTGTTTATTTGGAATTCTATTTGCTGACTGTAATAACACTCATAAGGTTTTACTGCTATGTTTTGTTTTCCTTTTTTTCCTTCCTTTTTTCTGATAATTATGTAACGACATACCCATCAAACCCCTGTTTTCTGTTACATAGATGGCACATCTGAGATGTGTACCAACAGTGCATTTAAAAAAAAAAAAGAAAAAAAAAGGAGATATGGTTCCTAAAATTCACACCATCATCCTCCTTCCTTTCACTCATACATAAAATGAAACCCTAACCTTTTCTTATAAATGAGCAAATGCAAAATCACTGGCAGAATTCATATAAAACCTGACTGCATTGAACATAATCTTTTACCAACTGGAACGTGTCAAATACTGCATAAGAAGTCTGGAGATTTCTCTGTTGTAAAACTGGTAAATGTAAATTACTAAAATCAAAGCCTATAGACCTATTTCCATTAGCAATTTAGAAAGTATTCCTCTAATTTAGATACTTATTGGATATGCCAGTTCCATCTCCACATGGGTGGAAGCACCCCAGGTGAGCGTCCCCACACTGTCTTACAGCATCCTGATAATTCAGTAGCCCAATACAAAACCTGAATGGTCAAGTATTTGTGTAAAGTAAAACTAAATTGACAGCAGAGACAGTGACTTATCTAATGGCACTGCATGGACTTAATCTTCTCAAAAGTGTCTGTGCAATTTATAGGGTACAGTCTAGACCAATGGCTACTGCACCAATAGATGAAACTGGCTGAGCTGTGATTACAGCTGTAACATGTAAGGCCAACCCCTCCCCCCCGCCCCCCCCCAAACCCTAGTCACCCACTCACCCACCTGATGGTTTACCTAGCTCAGGCCATGAATTTATTGGTGTATGGGTGAGAGGGTACCTGGGTATATTCCTTTTTAAAGGGTCTTTATTTCTTTTCTTTTTTTTTAAACTGGGCTTATTGATTGATGCTGCAGAGAAATAACTGGCATTCTAAACGTTTCTCATCCCTCAATGTGTGTAATAATGTCTTTGATACCCCATGAACTGCTTTTTTGAGGTTGGTCTCCGCTCTTCTTAGACTGGTCTCAGGAACCAAACAGGAATTTTGGTGTTCTTGCTGCACCTGTTCTAGTAAGTGACCACTCTTTTCGGTACAGAAAAGCAGGATAGTACATTCTCTTTAGTGCAATGCAGCCCATGAATAGAGCTCGTCCTTTACTTGCTCCTACTCATTCGCTCATTGTTATATACTTAGTGCACTATGGATCTGGGATGGAAATACTAGCTCAAGGTGTAAGTGATTGAAATATACACAAAAAAAACCCCCACCTTTTAAAAATTCTTGTTACTTTTTTTTCCTTAGTTAATTGTTATTTTGTATCATTGAGTTTAGTCTCACTAGATTCGAACCTGTGGAATGGTAAAAAAAGCTCCCCAAGCCAGGCTCTAAACAAGTTTGGCAGGTACAAATATAATCAGAGAAAGTTAAAAACCCACAACTGCAAATAAGCACATTTGTGTACAAACGAAGCCACATTGCAAAATCAAGATTTTTTTCAGCCCAGATGCTAATAAACGTCATTGTTTCTTCTGTACTGAAAGAAAATAACAAAAAAAACCCCCTTCTACCAATTATTTTTTTTTTTTTTTGTTCCTGGAGCAGGCAAAACCATCTACTGGTGAAGATGCAAAATATAAACCTCTCATATGAATATTTAATACCTGTAAACTGCAGGAATGATGGTTATGTGATTTATTGTATACCAAACAACAGATATGCAGAGGTGCAGGGAAGCCACCCATTGAAAAATCCGTTCTGTATCCATATTTCTGCTTTCAGAGATTCGTACTTCCAAGCATTAAAGCTCAAAGACTTGTCTCGATGAACATCTTTTTATAGTCTCTTCATATTCATGCATAATGTGACTTGAGATGCTGTCAGTTATCTTCATTTATCCTCTGTCTTTGTAATTGTTGTGTATATTTTACCTGCTTTAACTCAGTGTACGTTTTCAGAATTTTAATGTGCCAGGAATAAGGGCTGGGAGCCGCAAAAAAGTGATTCAGGAATGAACACTTCCTGTATTTTGGAAAGTACAGTTTTTCCCGACATTATATGCCACAGACTTTTGTCTACATTATTGCTTCTCTTAGGAGGAGTCCTAGTCGTATTGCAGCTGATCGGTTGAATGTAGATAGATGTAGTAAAGGAAGATGTTTCAGCTGCAGGCAGCAAGAACAGGGATTTGAGCCTAACTGGTAACTCCAGTTGCTGGAGCCACTCTCTGACACAGAGTCCAGCTGACCCAGAACAGAGATGCCATTGCCCAGTAAAACCTCTCCTGTCCAGAAAGGGGTGACTGCATATAAACAGTCTTCTATAAATGTCTGCCTGGCTTTAGCTACCTCCTGTACCATGCCTGCAAATTTCGGGGGGGGAGTGATAGCTGGGTGGCCAAAGCCATCTGAGGCTGGTTTGCAGTGTTTAACAACAGAGCTCAGCTGCGTGGGACCATCCCCTTGCACTGTTTCACCTCCTGGCGTGGGAGCAGCCCGTATTGCCTCTGCCTTGCTGACGTACAGGCATACATAGGCGACCCTACGAAACGGTCCATGTTACAATTATCCAGGTGAGACCCTCCTCCATCTCTACCTAGGATCATTTTGGGTCACTTTTGAATTCCCATCGCTATAGACATGTATTTTTCAAATACACATAGATCATTATATGTGGTGCTGTTACTCATCTGTGTAACACACATGCATACTGTATAACGGAACAAACACTCCTTTGAGATTGTATGTAACATCCAGACCTGAACGGATGATACAACCCTTATTTGTTCTCTCTTATGTCATCCACCTCTTTTGAGAGGTTTCTGTTTTTAGAGCTGACATTCAGTAGTTTCATTTTCTGTGGTCTCTGCACAAAACGTGGCTGGTCTCTTTGTTGAAAGAAGTTGTGTGATCACTGATGGCTGCAAAGGAATTGGGTTCCTCCACCTGTTTTTAGTCCTGGTTTGATCCAAACCTAAATTTTGCCCTTCATAATTTCAGACTCTGGACTAGACTTATGACTTACTTATGAATCTTAGATAAGGGTGCTCTGACACAAATGCTTCGAGGTGAGGAGGAGGGGCAATCTACTTCAGCACTATTGTAGGATTTGAGGATCCTTCCTCTTTCAGGAGCTTTGATATTTGGAAGCGTACAACAAATCCTATGCTCACACTCTGCCGCTTGCACAAACAGGAGTGGTGGCTTTCTAGCATCCAGGACTTGCACAAAGTGTAGCTGGTATAGGAATATTCCTTGTTCCCAAATATCAGCCAAAACATCGGGTGTTAATCTGTCCCCATGGTGATAAGCATATATTTTCACGCTATAAAAAGCTGTCAGAAACATGCCGTTGCATGTTAAATATTGTTGCGCATTGGAGTTTGGTAGTTCATCAGTTGGTTGATGTGGTGATTTAATTTTTTTTTTTTATTGCAGGCTGAAAAAGCAGAAGGATTCATCAGACTTCCAGACTTCAGTGTGGACCGAGCAATTGAATGCAAAAAAAAGCAGTAAGTTTATCTCTTGCCCCTAGTTTTGCATGACTTTTACGATGTTGCAAGGAATTGAATCTCAGTAGTGCCTGACAATGAAGCTGTGGGGAGTTCTTCTGTGTTGTATAAATAATGAGATATTAATTGAGCTATTGAAAGAAAACCATATTGCAAAAATATTTTTTTTAAATTCTCTGCCAGATGTGCTCTGTTAAAACTACAAATAAAAAAGTAGATCAGTATGCCAAATGCTTTTTTTTTTTTTCTCTTTGATCACTGATTATGCATAAGTTGTTACCTTCTCTTAGGTGGGGAGGTGAACAGGGGTGCAAGTAATGCTGCTTCCCTCTGAGTTGGGACTATTCTTTAGGCTGCTGTGGTGCAACTTTGTTTAGCAGGGTGCAAATTTCAAAATATTCTCGCCAAACTCCACATGCTTCCAGCTGCTTCTGAGTACAATTCTAAGGTTTGGAGGGGTGTTGCTGCTGTTCAAAGTTATAAAGCTCAGCATGGTTTTTATTCTGTCCCTCAAGAGAAAGCCTTTGTTGTTCTGTTCGGGTCTCACGGTGACATAAGCTGTAGGTGTTCTTGAGACTAATTGTGGGCTTGACTCCTCCAAAGAAAGAGGACAGCTATTTTGAATATGGGGAGCTCCATTTTGTTTTCTCAGAGGAAAGGTTGAGTCACATAGTATGGGACCACGAGAAAATGTTGCTTTTCACTTCTGCAGCTGTTGGCTGCCAGTGCCTGGGAGGAAAACATGTGCTCATCACTTATTTGGGATTGGGGTAAGTTAGGAGAACTGTGAGGACTGACTGGCGCTGCTGGGCCCCAGTCAAATAGTGTGTACTTCTGCGGGACAGAGTCAGTCACCTAACGAGGAACAAAAGAGGGAAGCCACACAGTCTCAGGATCGGAGGCTATGGTTTAGGGGAAAAAAAACCTCTGAAGAGTCTTACTGATGGCTATTCAACTAAAGCATAGTCTGGGGCTGAGACCAACAGGTTAACTATTGGTATGTCAAGGGACTACCTCCATTTTGTTTGTTTCAAACCTGCTGCCGAGTTGCCTCTTTTGTGCCTCCTAAAACTTGTCTTGGAAAAGACAGTGAAGAGTCAGTCCCTGTTCACCCACTGCATGCTGCTTGTGATTTTATTGTATTATATCTCCCTTCCCTCAATCATCAGTTTTCCATGCTGTGGGGTCTTAGCCTGATTAATCACTCCTGGAATCTGTTCCACACCTTGGGTCACCCCTGGTGCTTTCTCTGAACCTTTTCGAGGTTTACTATGCTTTTCTGAGTTGTGGGAAGCAAAGCTGCACCCAGTATTCGAGATGTGAGTTATGTAATGGCATAATGAAAGTCCACGTTTTATTCTTCATTCCTTCCTTTTTAGTTCCTGCAGTTTATACTCTCTGAATAATGTGTGGCCTAGGAAGTGAGCTAAAAATAGACTAGAGGTTTAAGGAGAGAGCTACATGGATGGATAAGCTGATTTGGATTAATATAGTGGAGTGAATAAATATTTTAAATAATTCATTCAGCTATTTTTTTCTTTTCTTATGTAAACCAGTTTTCTTCATATCTCTTCTATTTTTCTTTTCTTAAAGTGCTATTAAGATCAGCCACCCACAGATCAAGACATTTTATTTTGCAGCAGAAAATGTTCTGGAAATGAACACGTAAGTAGGAGCAACTGGCCATGTTTCATCCTGTCTCACGCCTGAGAACACCCTTTGAAAGTTCATTCTCTCACTGTCAAGCAGTTGTTGACAAAGCTATCTGGGGAATTACTGAGTCTGTTTTGTTTTCTGGTCATTGTATAGAAGGAAAATACTGCTATTTGTTCACTAATGACAGCTGAAATCAGAATCGCATTATTAGCCTGATTTTGATACTAATCTTCCCAACATTTGCTGGTATAAATCCCTTTCTGTTAGAGAGGTGCAAAGATTTGATAACAAGCTCATCACCTTGGGAGAAGTGAGGGAAGAAAGGAAAGAGGGAAAAGCTTAATACAGTTTTGTCCCAAAAGTGAACTAAGACTAGAATATAATATTGTCTGCTTTCAGGGTAGCATGTCAGTTAACAAGGAGGGTTAAAGGGATAGAAAGGGCTGTTTCTTTAATGTAAGTAAGCATTTGCTTCACTGCCAAACCATGTTGCAGTTAAATGATCCTCATGACAGATCAGGAATTTTCTTTCCACAAATGTCAATAAGAACAATAATTCATTCATGCAGTTTTTAATGCAAGAAATAAAAATGGATATGAAACTGCCATTTTAGAAACCACTGAGCTCTCAGAAGTAGATACTACTTGCTGTTGACCCAGTTTTGGCTGATTTAGATACATTTTGTATCTTTGTCTTTTTTGCTTCAGATTGCAGTCCGTTCACAATGCTATTGCATTAAGTGGCCAAATACTGGATACAAAGCAGTACAATTTAAATGGGAAGAGAGCTCCTGTGATAGGATTTTAATCACGGCTCTGCTGGTGACCTTTGTGAGATTCTTCATAGGGCATTGACTGTTCTTTCCTCTATAAAAATGAGACTTCATACATATTTACCACAACAGAAAAGGATAGAGGTTGAGAGAATGTGTGTGACCTTCCAAAAGGGCTATAGATGCAGAAATGTACGATACTACAGTAGTGTATGTACATATATATTCATAAATCTGTACGCTATAGATGCATACAAGTAAATATAGATGGAAAGACCGTGTTGCCCTTTGCAACTTGGAGCAGCACAGAGCGTACTGTTGAGGAGATAACCATCCGTTTCTGTATCACTGCATTTCCTACTGGAATTCCTGAATAGAGTGAGAAGTTCTTGAGGTAGATGGGCTGAGGATGACTGAGAATGACGGACTGCTGGACAGGAATATTTCTGTAGAGAGAGTAACCCTGGTTGAGAGAGAAGAGAGGGAAGGATGTAGGGAGAAGGAAAAGGAAAATTAGAGATAATGGAGGATGTTAGTGAGTGCTAGCAGCCAGTTTGGAGCCCAGCTGGAAATTCTCAGTGTCTTAATGACATTTTTTAACTGTTTAGTCTCATGTGAGTGAGTGAGTGAAATCTATGCAGGTGTCCCAGCTCTTATGCCCGCAGAATGATTTTCTTCAAACTCCACTTCTTGAGTAAAATTCATTTTGGCTTAAAGCTAGGTAGCTTAGTGTTAGACCAGCTTGCATTATACTGCACTAATTCTAATTCCTCACTGTTGTAACTGATGATGTTTTCCTTGGCAAAGTATAAAATACATGCATTTAATACATAAAGTACATGCATACTCATGCATATGTCAAAACAGACTAAAAGACATCTGTTCTCTTGGCTCCAGTCCCACAAATACATATGCATGCGAGTGGTTCCACTGAACTCACTGGGGCATTTGCATGTGTCGAGTTACTGGTGTGCATAAATGCTCAACAGATCATGACCTTTCATAACTATTCATGCATATATATCTATTAAATCAACAGTGGACTTACTAATAAAGTCATTTGCTTCATTAATTTAGCATGTATTTGCCATTGTCATACACACATGAAAAGTAAATGCGTGCTCAGACACAATGTTTTTTCAGAGTTATGAATCTTAATTCCTGCCCTTTCTACATTCCCTCTTTAGGCCTTGAGTTTTAATCTGAAAGGCTTGAGCTTTTTTAGTTGTTAGTTTCTTAAAACCTGGATAGATCTGAATGACCTACAGGCAAACACAATATACAAAAAGTATATCCAGGGATTGTTTCTAGCACTAGAAAAATGCAGCCACCTAGGAAGAGAAATGAAAAAAACCTGTTAATAGCTTAAAGCAACACAGGAAGTGAGATTTACTAAAAACAAAAATACATAGAGAGTTAAAGAAAGCAGTATATAATAGTTAGAAAGTCTAGTTTTAAATGGCTTAGATTCTTAGACTGTACTACAATAGCTTTTACCAGGGCAGCTGACATCATCTTCTATGGCTCCCGTGCCTTTTGCTTCATCTCAGGTGAAAGATGACACCTCAACAGCAGGACTAAGCCACTGACATTGTGTTATAGCACACACATTTTTCCTTTATCTTCCACAAGTGCAACTCCTTGGTCATCAGTAGTGCTTTTTTCAGGATCAGGGAAAGCTGTCCCAGGCAACTAGTCCTGCTCACCATGGGGAATATTAGTGTTCAGGTAACTGGTGCCTTTCTAGAGGGTGCTCAAAGAAACAGAAGGAAACTTTGACATTTAGTCTTCAGGTTAATGAAAACAGATGTAGTAATGTAGAACACATCTGAAAGGGGCAAAACTCTGTCTGAACAGCATGCAAGTATCCCTAACTCTATATTCCCTCTGTCTCAAACTCAGGTGGCTAAGTAAACTGGGGATGGCTGTACACCCTCAGGCACCCAACGGGAAGAATGAGGAAGGTATGCTCCTAACGGTGGTTTCAGTGCGTAACTACATCACGTTCTTCACAGCTTTTGCTTGGCCAAATTTTTGTCAGCTCTTTTCTTTCTTTTAAATTGTCAACTTGGGTCCATCTACCGACTGAGCTCAGAGAAACCACACTGACACAGCACAGAGTAATCACAGAAGAAACAATGGTGAGAAACAGTGCCACTGAGAGACACTCAGTGACCTTGTGAGAGGTGCGTAACTACTTTCTGGCAGTTTGCTGGCTTGCTAAGCCTACAAGTGCAAAGAGAAACAACTGTGCTACTCTGGGTTTTGAGTTGGTAAGGTATATTACAGGAGTTGTCTACGGCCCAGGAGCTCACTAGCTTGGGAACATCTCGTGCAATGTAGACCTGTCCCTACTGTCTCCTCCATTTCTGGGGGTTTCAACAGCAGCAATGTCGGGGAGTGCGGGTGGTAGTGGTGTACTGAAGCCTACAATTTCCTTCAGAGCCAAGCCCAAGAGTTAATTGCGGAATGAGTAATTTTAAAAGTTCCCTAGAAATTTATTTATTGTCTTAATTTGCACAGTGACCTAACGGTGAGAGGATACCTGCACTCAGATCACAAATCTGGGCACAGGACAAAGCAAATCACCTGTCAGAGTGCTTGGAGAAGCTGCTGGTGAGGACACACGTGCTGGGAGCTTGTTTAGAGTGGGAAGTGCTGTAGGTAGTATTATGTTAGCAAACCAGGGATGGACTCTGACCTGAGGAATATGTATTTTCTTCTGGGCTTTCGAACCTCCATTTTTAGAGTATTGGTACCCTGTGCCTTTTTTAGAACTGCTCAGGTTGTGAAGGAGCAGGCATTATGAAAAAGAAACTGGTATTTGTAGTAGTATGAACGCTTAGGTGATGCAGCCCGCTTTGTCTAAGCACTGAAATGCTCCTCTCTGCATCCCTTCTGCTGTTTTCCAGAATAAAGTTGTGTTTTATGACCAGGCTTTGGACATGTAATGCCATTATTGATTAGTCTGATCTGGCTCTGTTTATACTCTGGCTCCATTTATACTCTGCCACTAAAAGCAGCTCTGGGCTGGTAAACATAGATACTACGGATTTCTGGAGATCCAGCAAGTCTTATCAATTTTTGTTTTCTGTTCATGGTTCCTCTTTATTTCTTGTCAGGAAACGTGTTAATTCCCATACCCCTAAATTCCTGCAAAATGCCTGTGTCCTTTTTGAACCCAATTTTGTATCAAAACAGTCTGAGATAATTAGGATAAAGGGCGATGTTGGGTATTAGGCTGCGTAGCAAGTACCACATGGTAACTTTACTCGGGGAGGAAGTGTCCAAACATGTTGTCCCTGTTTTCACAGTGGAGGAGTTTGATGGAAGATGAGGATGGTCAAAATTCTATACATGAAAACAATTTTTTTTTTAAAGCCTCAAAAAACGTAGTATTGGTTGTGTTGGCTGAATCGAGAGTTATAAAGCAATTCAAAATGTGACAGCCCACTAATCTTAATTAAAAAAAAAAAGACAGAAAGATACAAAATAATCCACTCAATAACCTCTGCAGCAGGTTATCTGATTACCCTGCAATAAACATAACGTAGCCAAGATCTCTTCAGCTTTTGAAACTGGTGGCCTGTCTCCCCTTCAGGAAAAGGCACTTTGATTCTGGTGTCAAACACCACCTCATCTTTCCATGCGTGTTTTGTCACAGGTGCTCCAGCAGCTGCCTTGAGCATGGGTTCAGCACCCCACCGATGCGCCTGGGTGGACATGCCCTTGCAGAGGCATTGCTATGTTTCAGAAAAATGCTGTCATTACCCACAGTCACTTTTGACCTGGTTCTCCCCTCTGTATCACACACCATAACTCTTCAGGAGGGTCTTGGCTCTTGTTATGGCAGTTCTTGTATATTCATGTACTTTCTATGCATTTTAACACCCCCCCAGCCCCATTTGCCTATTTAGAGTATCAGAAACAGCTGTTGATTCTTTTTCAGTTGTTCTGTGTGCCTAAAAGGGGAGCTGTAGAAACAATAAGCTCTTTACTAAGAGTTATTCAAGAAGGCATTAATAGAGCCTTAGAATTTGATACAGGCCTTATTGCAGCCAGTCTCAGTCCTTTATGCTAAGATGTGCCAGCACATATTTCCAGTAAACAGAATAGCAGCTATGCTATTAAAAAACCCTATAGTTCTGCAAACTGTATGGGGAGAAGAAGTAATCAATCTCTTTAAGTTTCACTTTGTTAACATCTCAGAAACCTCTCTCTCGTGTATAAAATTCTTCTCTCTTAAAACTTTGTTCCCCTCACACTGTGCTTATTAAAACCCCCAAATGACATGCACAAAAAGAAAGTGTGCAGGTATTAATTTAGTTAAAAGATGAGATAATCACAGGTGATTTCCCAGAGACCGTGTTAACACACTGCTTTCTAGTGGTGTGAACCCATGAAGTCCAGCTCTTACAAATTACTCCCAGAACACAAACAACCCTTGCCCGCTTGGGGAGAGAGCTGGAGGGTTGCTTCCAAGCTGCTCTTGGACAGCCCGAGCTGCTGGGTGCAGCTGTAGGAGGGAGAGGCAGTGCAGAGTGCCGGCTCCCGTGGGGACCACAGGGGCATCCTCTGCTCTTGTGACATCCTCACCCACTCATGTTGTCCTCATTAAGCTCCGACTATGTCTTTGCAACCTTTCATGTCCCCAGTGCAGTTGGGTGGGGTGAGCGCTGTCACCCTTCACACATGGTGCCGGGCAGGATGCAAGCACTTGCTCCTATAAAGGTTGAATGTGAAAGGCTGATGCGTGCTGCGAGATTTGGCAGAGGGAAGTGATCTTGCCCAGTGGTTACAGCTAGGCCCTGGGAATAGGAATCAGCAATTTACTGCCTCCCCTTTTCTGTGTCTCATTTTATCAATGATTATAACTTCATTTAATCCACTTGTAAAAAACATCTGAGAAAATGCTTTCACCTGCTACACAGGTAGTTGAAATAACAACCTGACTGCCTCTCTGCCACATGTCAAAAGATACTGAGGCTCTATCACCTTTTCATTTAAAAACAAAAAGATGAGTGGGGTGTATAGTCCTAGAGTTTACTTTTAGTACTAGCTCTGCACATGTACTGCCATGCTGCATGGCGTGCCTGTGTGAGTTACCCTGTGGTGACAGAAGACTCTCATGAGGCTGCTCTACGGTTTCCAAAGCACCATGTGAGCAATCTATTTTCTCCAAAATTGCTGCCAAAACACCGATGCCTGTTGCTAGCTCCAGGAAAACTTACTGGTTCCAGAGATTAAGGGACAGCATCTACTATTTGCGACAGGTCTCCCTAATTATACCACAGATGAGGCAGCCTTTCTTTTAAAGGCTGCAAAGGGAGGGAAAAAACCCACCCCAAACCTATTTGTGAAGCTATCTAGAGCAGTGCCACCTAGTGTTTCCTGCCATAGCAAATTCGCAGATTTTTTGACTTAAAAAAAAGAAAAAAGGTTGCCATGAAGTTGTGTCGCATTACCACAAGCGGGTTAATTTTCACTGTAGGAAAATATAGTGTTATACAGTGTTAATAACACTGGCTTGTTACAGCGTGGTCCTCAGCCCAGAACATCCTACCCGGTGATCTTTGGTTACCTCAGCACTGTGAGGAATAAATGAGGGTTGGCCTAACACTTTGTTTTTGCTCATTTTCCATGTCTGCCTCAGAATGCTACAGTGAAAGTGAACACGATGATCCAGAAATAACAGACACACCACCTCCCCCCTACACAGTCCAACCACCACCTCCTCCTTCGGTAAGTATTACAGTAATTACCTTGTTTCTGGTTGCTAGCCAGTTGGAACAAAACTTTCTTGAGGTGGTGGACCTTTGAGGAATAACCTAAAACAGCGGCTGGAAATGTTCACCCTGTGTGCCTGTGAAATGGGGATGTGCTGACTGCCCCTGCCCCGAGGCAGGGCACGCAGTTATTGCAGCCCGTGCTGCTGGGAGCCTCGCACTGCAAAGAACAGCTCCCTCAGATGGAGATGGGGATCTTGCTGGAGAAAGAAAAGTGTCACTCTACCTCGTACACACGCTGCGTCTTTTCTTTACAAGGTTTTTAACACACTGCCATAACAAGATTTTCGTACTATTCTTTTTTTTTAATCAGTCCCAAACCTTCTTTCTTTTTGTGACTCTGGTAGCATCATCCAACAGATTTGTATTTATTTGAGTGAGCTGTTCTTAAGACTGCTGAATTTGAAGCTGCTTTTGTGGCGGTGAAGAGAAGTGAAGGGAAAGAAGCCTCTTCTTACAGTGATAAAATTGGTTCTTTCCTTCTACCTCTGAAAAATGGACTATAAAAAAAGAAAATAAGCATCCTCCTAAAATCTATAGTATTTTTCTCTCTTGCTGTATTTGTCCAGAATATTCCTTCCTGCCTCGCTTCATTTCGTAAATTAGAATAAGCACTATGCAACCTCATGTGTCTAATCAAATTGACTCGCCTAATTATTAGCCACTTATCATCCTATTAATCTTGTTTCTATATTGTTGCTTTTCCTGGTGATCTCATCTCCCTTACATGTGCTTTAAGATACGAGGTTTACTTAATTCTGTGTTTAGAAATGACTAATCCGGTTTGGGATGGTAATGCAGCTGAAATAAGGAATCCTGAGTTCAAGCCTTTCCCCTTCCCCAGCTGAAAGTTAACATCGAGGGGTATGCAGTAATATACTTACTACTAAATCATCTCATTGCATCTCATGGAAAAGAAGCATCTGCTGCCTCGTTGGTGTGGTACAGGTTCCTGTATGGCACGCTGAAATGACATCCAGTAGCTGGGGTGGGCACAGAGGAACAAATTTGAAAATACAGATGAGCTGGAGACGCTTGCGTGGTCAGAGGCAATAATAAAAGGAGATGTCGTGCACAAGGTTGCCTGTCTGGCAATCTTGAATTAGCTCGCATAAAGCTGGGAGCGTATGCCACACTGTCACCTACTTGCCCCCTTCTGTTTCAGTCAGATAAGTCAGTCTTCACTTCCTCTCCTGAAATGTTAATCACGGTAAAACAATCCACCTGGCACTTGTGGTGTTCACTGCTGTGTAAAACGTGATTCTTTATTGCCTGCATTAACTGGAAGGTAAATGTGGCTAAGTGGCTATAAATATCAGAGAAAATAGGAACCTTGGCAATACGTCTCCAAAAGTTATTCTGCGCTGAGGGCTGATAATGAAGCGTCTTGAATTTTAAACCTCAATGGTTTGCCTTTAAGAGGCTGTAGATATCTTTTCCGTCTGCTCACCTCTGAGTGAACGCCTGCATTTTTCCAGATGATGAGGTTTAAACAGGTGCTGTTTTTTAGTTTGCTGTTTTTCTGGCTTCCTGCAGCTTGTCAGTCTGTGGCTGCAGAGGCGATCTCCGGTTGTCTCCTTCCCATATGCTCTTCTTGAGTGCTGGCCTCCACGTTTTAGCAGGGGACGTGTGGGAGGCAGGCAACGGTGCATGTGCTGAGGGGGCCTGCTTCCTCAGCCTTTCCCTTAAAGATTATCTTCCGTCCAGCCCCTGCCTCTCTCAGCTGATATCCCTTCTCCTCATCCCCAGCTTAAAATCCCTTCCCCTGTGGACAAAGGGTTAGTGTCTCCTGAGCAAAGTTGTCATCTTTTCACCCCAGAAGTGGCTACTGAAATAAGCTCCAGCTGCTGTCTGTCTGCCCTATGCTCAGCTTGCTCATGTGGTGGGTGGAGAGCAGTTAGGTACCAATGGAGCTGTGTTTGACTGCAAGTCAGTTGTCTTTTAAACACCCAATTTAATGCCCCTGCCCCTTCTGGACAAGTACCGGAGCAAGAAAACGACTGGAAGGATTGGGAAAGCACAGCTTTCACTGGGAAGTCAATTCTAGGAGTGGAGCTCTTGGTTGTCTCAGGGAAGGCTGGTTAAACATTGCTTGCCATCTGATCATTCACTGCGGAGTTTCTGAACCAAGCTATGAGGTCCCGAACATGTGATGGATTTGGGTTGATGGTTGGGTGGGTACACCACTTCTGGAAGGCCTGCTTGAATCTTTTCAGATTCCTAGTAGAAGAGACACTCATCCTGGAAACCCAGCCCAGCATCAAGAATGTCACAGGCATTGTCTGGAGTTAATTTCTTTTTATTATTTTTATCTTTGTTAAAGTTGCACTGCTTCCTCCCGAGTGCCAAAGGGATTTTGCGAAATAGGAATTAGGAGCTATGGACATTTTGGAAAATCAAACCAATGCTGTCTTAAGCAGAAAGGTCTCCAAACTTCTTGAGACCAACTCCAGAATGAAAACTATTAGTCTGCAAACAAATAGCCACAGGTGCAAGCTCTGTTACGTGTTAGAGCAACAAACATATTGCTGTACTTCTAGCACAAAGTTTTCACTTGCTGTTCTGTTCTCTGCTGACCCAAACCATTTTGAAACTTGAAAAAGAAAAAAACAGTGAACATGAGCTTTCTATGTTTATGCATGCTTTTGGGTACTGTGGAAGAAAAAAGCAAGTGAGGAACGAGTACATTTTAACATCTGTAGGACAAAAGTTGAACTGACCATCTGCATTAATTTCTCCACCTGTGAATGGATTTACAGTTCAAAACCCAGCAGCTATGTTGAGACAATAGATTGCCGCAATCCCAAAAGAGCAGCTGAGGTGTTCCATAGTGATAATTTTTCTCTAAAAAATACCTAGAGACTCACTGATCTCCAGTGGAATTCTTATGATCTGCTGGCTCAAGCATCTGCTTTTTAAAATGTCCCCAAATAGAGATTTATTATTATATGGATGATTGCAAAACTTCCAAAGGAACCACTCGAGTAAGTTAAGTAAACATTTGTCATGCCAAAGAAAAAAAAACCACAACATGTATGTAGAGAAAGAGAAGCACATTCTGGCAGTCATCTTCATTCTCACCCACATTTTTTTATTTAACACACAATGAAAATGAAAACAAAAATATATTCCACTCAGTAAGGCACAGTTTTCATTTCAATGGCACTTTCTTTTGCATGGACAAATGCCAGAAAAATAGAGGAGAGATCTAACATTTTCCTTTCCTGTCTTTGAACAATTGAGATTAGACCATCCACACCATGTGAGCAAGAGCTTTTACTGTTCGGTTGTTCTGCTTGGCTGTACAAACGCTTCAACAATTTGTCTTTGTGATAGTAGCTCTGAGATTAAATGCTTCAGGTCACCTGTGTTCCCAAGGATGTTTTTGTCACTCATACATGTAGTTTATGACAACATCTCCTTGTCCTTTGCTTTAGGGTGCGTTTGTGAAGGTTTCCTTTCTAAGAACAAAAATGCACCTGAAACACAGTGTTGTACTTCTCATAATAGGAATATAAATTAAGGCTGGTCCCACAGTGTTTGGGACTGTCTTGGAGGAATGGCTTTGAAAATTTACAAAAGTGAAGAAAATGCTATGAACAAATGGAGACCCACAATCTGATATTGGTCCTCCTCATCTTCTGAATTGATTGGTAGCTACACGATACAGCTAGATCAGAAGCACAGGAAGGCAAATCTACTTTGCTTTTTTTTAATGTAAAAAGGAAGTAGTATACATTACAGCAACATTGAATTGCAGAAGTTTATATATCATAAACCAAAAAATTGTCACTCTTGGTTTGGTTTATATGAATACGTCTTATTTCTAGTTTACCGGGTTATTAATAAGTATTCCAGGCCAGTCCCTTTATTGTGTTTGCAGCTTGTCTGGGTTTCCCTAGCAACACCTTCTCAGTAATTTTCAGTACTTCCAGTTTAGTTATTATCTGTTTTAATCCTTATATAGATCTCTTCTACATATGTATTGAGAACATAAGCTTGCCAGAATTGTGGTCCATCAAGTCTGGTGTTCTGATTCTGGTATTGGCCAGTAGCAGGTGATTTGAAGAAAGAGTAAATTTCTGCAGTAGCAGATACAAGAAATCTGGCTTTCTTATCGTGATGATCTCATCATGATTTCTGATAGTTTCTCCTAAGGGCCTCACTGTAAGGCTTTGTCTCCCCTTGCCTTCCATTACTTTATTTATTACTGTCAATTAATCCTCTTCTGGGTATTTGTATGTATATTTGTGTGTTTGCATATGTATTACTTGTGTATTTGACTCTCTTGGCTCATCTTTTCAGTGGTTGGTGGCTAAGAAGCAGACTAGGGCTAGTTCTTCTTGTGTGAGTTGCTTTTGGTGACCAGATAGTAGTACAACTCAATCAATGTAAATGCCTACTGTGGACAAAGACCTAGGCATCTATTTGCTTGTCTGGGAAGCTAAATACTTTTCAAAACTTTGTTCTTTCTCTCAACCTTTCTTTACATGGAATTGTGCATCTCTCATACCCTCTTTAATTCAACTTCTAGCTCCTAATGGTGACTGTTAGATGTCTCTGAGACCTCTCTGGTTGCATGTGCTTTTGTTGAGGCAGGGTGACAAGTACAGTATGGAGGGCCCTAGGATGTCTTAATGATTTCTGATGTGTTTCTAGTGAAGTTTGAGTCCCTTTCCAGATTCATGTGCTGAAGGATGAATCTTAGCAGGTGAAGGAGCAGCACAAATCTTGTACCATTCCCCTTTTCCTGCCCTGTACCCCATGGCTGTCTGTTTTTTCTTTCCACCATTAACTTGCCATCATATTACCTGTCAGCCTTCTTGCCTTGGTGAATGATTAGTCCCTTGAATGGACCAGCTAAAATGGCTTTGTGTGCTGAGAAGATCAAAGTACTTCAGTGCTTGGGCCCATTTCTGTCTATCCGTGGTTATGACATTGGTGGATTTATTGAATGCTTCAAGACAACTTCATGTTCAATGGCTAATTCAGTTTCTCTTCTGCACTCTTGATTAGACTAATAAAGTGAAGACAAAGTAAAGAGTGAACATGAGTGTGAGACCTAGCATGGAAGGCTACATTCAAGACAATATTTTTCCTTGGTCTTTTGTTTCTAGGCATTGTCAGGTTTTTATCTGTTTTACCTCTGGCTTCCTTATGGCTTAGTTTCTGAAGTTACTGCTCTGTAGGAGATTGGCTGCCATACCTCAGCTTGTTTGGATGGATAATTAATCAGATTACATCAATTTTTGGTCAGTTAGCCTTTCAGCTGCATACCTATAACATGTAGAACCTAGGAACAGGAATAACTTGGAAATAATTTTTCCCCCCCCCCCCCCCCCCACTTTGTTTCTGGAAAGCAGGATCAGCAGAAGTCTTCTTTCACCTCAACTCTGTCAAGTGAAGCATCTTGTTCTCTCTCCTCTCCTGAAAGCACTTTCAACTCCCAAGAGTCGTCTTCTTCCTTGACGTCCAAAGTGGTTTATTCCGAGAGGCAGTCCTGGCTTGACCTAGTTAACAGCTCTGCCACAGAAGAGGGTGATCAGCCTTTAACTTTCTGCGTACAGATTCACTCTGATGGGCTGCCAGAAGTAGACTATGGAGAAGCGGCAGAAAGCCAGGAGGTCCAGCTTTCCAAACCCGGTGGTGGATCCCAAAACTCTTTTTTAGGTCTGGATACACATTGTCTAGCTGTGCCAGATGCAACAGGACAGAGATCACTAGCCAAAGGTGAGCTAATGAGAGAGGAGATTTTTCTCTGCAGAGCCATACAATGTGGGAGTTCAGGGGTTTTCCTCACGTTCCTTTCCCCTTCCTTCCTTTATGCTCTTCACTGAAGAGTTTTCCAGTGGCACATCATTTATAACAAACATTTGGGTTATTGTGCATTAAATATATAACCTAGTATCTAATTGGTAAGCACCTTTACAGCTTTTCTCAAATTTTACTAATATGTTAAGATCATAGCCTCTGTATAAAATCCTAACATAGACATATTTTTATTAGCTTGCTTTATTTCACTACAGCTGTCTTTTATTAGTCAGAGTTGAATCAAAATTTTAAGAAAGTGTGTCACAGAACTGACACCCTAAGCAAAATGGCATATGTAGGAAGTGGTGAACGTGGGGTTAGGTCAATACAATTTTAAAAATAAAAGCAGTTGCGTTTACTTCCAGTACATATTCCCTATTTGTTTCGTTGAGCTTCTTAATAATCAAGGGGAAACAACTGCAATCCTGAATCAGAAAGTCCATTAAGACTGGATTTTGTTTAAGCAAATGGGTATCTGCATTGGTATCCTCCTACCAAAATGTACTGCTAAATTAAAAAGGTGGCACAGTTCCAGAATTTGGTCATTGTTACTGTTAATAACTCTCCTACCATAGCGAGGCAATGTGTCTTGCCTTCTGAGCAAAGCTGCTTCTTCCTGCATTAAAAGCGGTTGAAGCGTAAGAGGAGTTTCTTGCATACAATATGCTGAAATGAGAAAATACTCAGCATGCTGCCTAGAGAGGAAGGAATGATGTTCTTGTGCATCGGCTCTACCCATGTTTTGAAATCCTTGTAAAGATTTGAAGTGAGTACTTTGCTGAAAGAGCAGTGTTTTCTCAGTACAATGCAAAACAAAGGTGCATCCAAAAGCTCAGGCTGAAGGTAAAGCAAAGATGGAAAGAAACAGCACTGGCCTCACTGGGAATTTAGGGTATTTCTCTGTAGTGAACTGGGCACTGAGAGCTGAGTCACATAAATTATAGTATAAGGCGTATTAGTCACATTGTCAGTCTCCCGGTTGTTTTACAGATATCAACAGTCAGCACCCCTTTAGTTTGTCATATGTTTTTCTGATTTTACAAAAAAAAAAAAACCCCAAATTGAGAGAAGTACAGATTTTAACAAAAGTGAAAATTTGTTTCAGTGTGTTTTGCATTCAGCTTCATTATCCATCTTCTAGGCTGCTCTGCTAGAGACTTCTGTAGCAATGAAGGTCAGTAAGAATTAAAACCGAGAACAAGTGCATGTGGTATTTCTCTGTGGTGGAAAAGAGTGGATGTTTTGAGTTTCTATGGAATCTAATTCCTGTAAGCTCTGGCACTGCAAGTAGTGAAATGGCTGGGGCTGGCAGAAATGGGGTCCCTAATTAAAATGTCACAAAGACGTAGTAAATGCACTGCATTTTGTAATTTGACCTTCTTGGTTAAATTTGACCAAGTAATGCCTTTAGGAAACATTATTAGGTACATTCAGGTGGATTGTTGGAGTGTAGGCCATATACGGCATGGTGTCTTACAGATCCCTTGGAGCAAGATTCAGTGATTGCTCTTCAGAAATCTAAACTTTTGCTTAGAATATGTTACTTTGTTATTGTCAGCAATCCTGCAATAATGCATAGATTAATGCTTTCCATCGTAATGGTGACAAGTACATTTATAGATGGTCATAGAATTAGCATGACACATTCGTAATCATTTAAAGCACAGTTTGATAGACTTGGTAATACTTACAATAAAAATGGGATTAAAATGTAAATCAAGGCACATTTTGGTATATTCCTGCCATTTGTAAGGTGGTTTAATTTTCCCAAAAATATTCCTGGGGAAATGAATTCTTCCATTGCTCACTGCTTAGCTGATGGACGACCCTGATCGCAGAACACTTCCATTCTAACCACATTGGTGATCTCTGATGGAATTCCAGAAATAGATCATTTCAATGAGACAGTCACTATGAAAATTGTATAACCTCACTAGTTACTGTCTGCATCATAACCTGTTGTTGAGCAAGTAAGACGTACACCATACACGCATTTTTCCTTTATCAGTCTGCATAGTATGGGGATGGGATGGAGACTGTTGGTGTGTGGGGTTGTGTATCTCCCCTCTTTCAACAGCCACTGAAAAAATAAATGAAATAATTTGCAAGGAGATTAGTTAAGCTACTTCAGTTTGAGAATGAGGTGGAAAAAAGGATTAACGTAAAATAGCAATTCAGTTCCAAATGAAAGTTATCAAAAAGGATGCAATTCTGATTCTGTGGCTTATCCCCCAAGAATTTCCCCCTCTAGCTAGTTGATAAGGATGTGCACAAATACTGTGAGATGAATTCAAATTTTGGGGTAAAAGCTAGCTGCAAAACCTCATGATTTACAATAACTAGTAAGAACACCCTTGTTATCAGATGCGAAACAAGAATGCATACCTCAGTGCAGTCTGTGTTATTTGCTTTACAAGGCTTCTGAATAGTGCATTTCTGACAGCTCGTCATGAGGAGACAGGTCTGTCTTGCATCGGCACCTGTCCTGAAAGTGCATGTCCCACGTGCGTAAAGCCGGCCCTGCTATTATCGGCTATGTGGTCTTTGAACCCACCCCCACAGAGCCTTCATGTCTATCCATGCTCCCTTCTTCTCCCTGTAAGAATAGAAAAAACCTGTCACACACTCCGCTTTGTGGCCATGTTCTGCTCAGTAAAACCCCACGAGGAATTTTTGGTTGTAGCTGATAGCAGCCTAGAGCTGAGGTGAAAGTTTTCAAGAACTGAAGAGCACTTTTGTTGACAAAAGTCAGAAACAGAGGCCAATGAGCAAAAAGTTGGTACCTAGAAGGAAGAAAGAGTAGCTGTGGCTTTCAGGGAACAGCTTATCATGAAAATACAAAAATAATGAAGCAACCTCAGCGGTGAGTTAAACAATAAAAAAAAAGTTTCTCAGAGATAAATGAATGAATCTCTCTAAGAGAAACTACAGATCCAACTAAATGATCATGGATTATTTTTTCAATGAAAATTATTTAATGAAATCTGCTAAGCAACTGTAACTGTCTGGTGCAAAGAGCTGTATCATATGATATTTTTAAGAACCTTTCCAGCCATTCTTAGTGGTGTTATGACCATTCTCAGCCTTAATTCTCAGTGCTGATTACTGGGGAGAGGTTATGTAGCAGAGGGTAATACAAAAGTACAAAAAAGGAGAGTTTAACAGTTTTCTCTTTTGAAGGGAGATCAGCACTAGTTTTCCATTTACTTTGCGGGAATATTTAATACTTCCATGTTGCAACTTGCTACATGCACAGTGACAAAGGATTCAAAGCTGCCTGTGACACAAAGAAACTGAAAGGTAAACAAGAAATGGTTGAGAATACAAACAACTATCTGACTACGTGCTCTATGTCCGGAAGCCGGCCTTACCCTGTCTGGGATGGCTAGACACACTCTCCAGCCAAACTCCGCCCTTTGTATTTCTTCTGGCAACCACTGGAACAAAAAGTATCTGACTATGACCCACCACCACCATCATCAAAAACTGCGATAACAAAAGGAAGCTGCAGAAACTGAGAGGTTACTATAAGAACACAGGAATGTGTGTTTGTATTTATTTAGGCATCTTCTACTATAGCAATAACATCCTTCTTCCTTGCATTTTCTGAGGGTTTTATGATCATGTGAAGTTAATGCATCTTGGCAAGGAATTCTTATGGTACCACTACTGGTTTATTTATTTTACCTTAGCTCACAGTAGCTGGTAGAAGATGTGGTGTGTGCTGATATTTTCAAAAACCTGGAAAGCTTTTCACACACCACTTGAATTTTATCTGGGTTGGTTTTGTGAGGAGGAGTTGGTTAAATAGGAGCTGGATGCAGTCAATTCCTTCTTTTATCTGAACTGACATCCTCTTCCCCTCTGGAGTCTGCCTGTGCCAGTAATAGCCAGAACAGATCCTCTGGTGTGCTCTGGCCCCTTTGTTCCTTCTGCAAAAGTTACAGAAAATGGCTAGATTGTGGCTGAGACTAGCCAAGAAGTATGCCTATGGTGAGAACAACTGTGTAGAGAAACAACTGTGTTTGAATGATTATTTTGCTACCCATTAAAAAGGCTTTAGAAATCACTGTGAAAGCTATGGTGTTACGGTTTTGTGAACTTTCTGAAAAAGAGATACTTATTCGTGTCGTTTCCAGTTCAGTCACAGTTTGTTAAAATGGCATCCCTCACTGCTGAGTCCGCTATACCGTTATAGTCAAGAGCATCTAACGGTTGGTGGTAACATACTTTTCCTGTTATTTTCTCCCACTGTCTCCTACTTTTAGTTCTGCATTTGCCAATGAGGAGTTTGCCTAAACTATGCCCTCCTAATTCAAATATTTCCTGTCTTTTCTGTTCTGTAGTTCTGTGGAAAATGTGATTTCCTCGAGGTGTCATCATATTCCCATTGAAAAGTCTACTACCACTATGGAGAATGGATGGGTGTGGGGTGGTGTGTGTGGGTAGGTAGGTAAAGGCAAAAGCGGTTTATGATTTTTTCCTCTCCTCTCCCCAGTTAGGGTCTATATGTTGTCCCATTGGCATCAAAGGTTTTGGCAGAATCGGAAATAGAGGTTTTGGCACAGCCACAAGAAGCTCATAAGAGTAGCAAAGACAGTAGGAAGAAGCAGATTTTTTTTCCTGGGATTAATACACGGTTGGAGAGCTGTGAGATCTCAGTTAGAGAATGGGAGAACAAGTATTTACATTTCAGCTTAGAGTTGGTAAGATATGTTCTGTTGGAGGTGGTTTCTAATGCAAAATGCTCTTTCTTCCAAACATTGCCAATTTCTATATCTTTACTGCTGGGAAACAATCAGCTTGATTTTTCACAGCTGCTTTTTGAAAAGTTCTGGGTAATTTCACTTTTGAAGGCTTAAAGAGCATTAAGGTTGAGATTTCAGGCAGGCTCCCGTACTGCTGCTGCAAGGTGGGGAGTCTCAATACCTTAATGTCTCCCACCTGTGGCAAGTTGGCTGACAGGACAGTGGAAGCTGAAAATTGAGGAGGTGAAGAGCTGGCGTGCTGAACTTCTGGCAGCTTGCTCTTGTCTATGATATCTCCTGTTAGTTACAGGGAAATTCCAGATAAGTGGCATCAAGCCACAAAATTGTGTTTTACTTCTCCTGAAACAGAATTGGTCAGGAGTTCTGACTTGCCTGAAATATTACTTTATTTTCCTCGCTGCAACCTAGCAGGTCTCTTTCTCTTGAATGTTAAAATATCTCAGGGCAGGACTTCCCTTTTCCTCAGGTCAGCACTGGTTCTTTTCCACTTTCCCCTCTGTGGAGTCTGACAAAGTTAAGAGCTGTACAATACTACAGAATTTTCCAGAAGTGCCATGAAGCTTTAGCAAGCTGCGAGGCTTGTGAGTGAAGGGCATCATGCAGGAGCCCAGGAAGACTGATCCTTCCAGTGGCATCACTCAACAGAATTGCTTATGGTTAATACTGCCAAGGGAAAGGAAAAGTGCACAATGCACACGTTCCCCTGCGTGCATGTACACGCTCATAAATGCACATGATATATAATATCCTTCCACTGTTGCTGTTTGTTCCTTACCACTAATCCTTCAGTAGGTCCTGAGAGAAAAATGAATGTATTTTATCTTTAAAATAGGATGAGATAAAGAAGTGCTGTAGTAGCATTTCTGTTTCCTAACTTGCATGCCTGAGACAGAAAGTGCTTAGCTTGAAGAGTACCAGTGGAAGAGATAACTTGCAATATTGTATTTTGAAGTGATTTTGAACATGCCTGATGTTAGCTGTGTGAGCCAGCTAGAAAGACTCACTTCAGAGGAGTGCTAGTGGGGCCCAACGTGTCCATGTTACTAAAAATTTTTACCAGCAGAATATATCCATCATTATAAACCTCCTGAGGTTAACAAAGCTCAGAGTAGGGGTGGTACATTTATCTTTGGGAGGCTGACACAGACAATCTGTTCGTTTTTACACCAGTGCCTGAGCTTGAGTACTGTGTGCTTTTAGCATAAATTTTTACTTTGTGATGCAAAGCAAATATTCTGTAACAATTCGGTAGTACGGTCTAGACAGCCCGGGTTTCATAGGAGGAATCCAAGTCACTGAGGCCTAAATGCAGAACTGGTGAATGCTTCTGCTTCTGTTAGAGACTTGTTCATCTGCAGGTCAGTGCTCTGACTCCAGGTGCAAGGGAGTTCAGCAATACCAAGTTCTGGGAAAATGTGCTGTGAATATTTGAATCTGAATGTGAAAAAGTCTGGTCTGTGCTTAAGGCTTGAGTCAGGTTGCTTTATCTCTATTATCCAAGCTTAATTGGATGTTTTGCGGGGAAAACAAGAAAGCAAACTATAGGTAGTGCTTTCTTCATTTACTTTCATGGCATTAAGAGGCTTGTGAAATACGGTAATGCACCATTGTTTGAGTGAGGAGAAATATGTTTTCTCATCACAGATCATTTTATTGGTCTTGTTAATTGGTTGCTAGAAATAATGCCTCTCCCCTTCCTCCGTTACCTCTCCCCCTTTCAGATTTACAGCATCAATCTAACATGTTCAGTGGCAGCTTCAAGCCTGCAAAACATGGGCTTTTGCTTTCTGAGCTTGGCTCAGGGGAACTCAGGACATTGAAGGTAAAAGTCCAGATAGGTATCAGACAGTCTGGCCTCAATTTATAGAGGTTTATTGGCAGACATACTCTTTGACAATAGCAACAGTATTGGCTTCTATTCAAAAGCACAATATTAAGATACTGTTTTGTTATTTTTAACTGTTGTGGGAGAAGTTCACTGCTTATCAGTGTAGACAAAGACAGAGGCAAAAGTACTGTATGACTTACGCCTGGCTCTACATCGCCTGTAGGCTTCACTCACCCTTGTTTTCCAACTGTTTCTTGAAATCCCATTTAGCCACTTCACTGTCACTCCTTTTATCCACCCGATCTGAAGAATCTGGCACATTCCTTTCCCTCTGAAATTACCTGACCATGATCAATCCTTTAAGGGGTGGGAGTGATGGAAGAATAAGAAATACGAGGGGAGTTTAAGGTTGCAATCTTGAAAGAATGCAGGAGCTGAGTGCACATTGCTGGTCAAGTGCATCGTCTGGGAGCCTTTTGCTGGGCTTTTCTGACTTTGGCTCCATCTTTTTCTGTGCTGAGTATTACTGTCCTCCTTACCTTCACCCACAAGTGCACGGAAGGTATCAGAGTACTTAGCATGGAAGAAGAGTGTTCAGCGAGGGTGTTTTCTCATGCTTGCTGCCTTGCAATCCTTTTAGGACACCGAGGAGCATCATGAATTAGCCTTAAAAAATATCTGGAGCAGGGACCTCATGTCCCCCATGGCTTGACTATTTTTTAAAGTTGCCGGAGAAGATCAATGCAATTTTTTTTCTTCTTATATACTCTTTCTTGCATATCTGATAAAGGTCAATTTATCTCTCAAAGTGATACTGTGCACAGTCCTGATGGGTGATGTCTTCAATAGAGCTGAGCCAGTCCTGTGCAGGAGCTGGCTAATGAAACAAACAGCTGCTTCATCCCAAGAAAATAGGCAGGAAGCTAGTTATAATTACGAGCCTCATGGCATGAGCCGACAGTTTTCAGGAAATACTACTGCCGTGTATTATGCCTTACACTTGCATTTTTTTCTATTTCCCGCAGCTTGTTAAATATACAACAGTTCTCCTTTTCCTCCCCCAGCACTGTACCAATGTTGGAAGCTATATTTAGTTCTTGTCAAGTTACAGCAGGCTTTTTATAATTACAAAGTAGTGAAAAAAAGGCCAGCAACACAGTGAAGGCAAGTATTTGTAGCATATCATAAACCTTCTTGTAGCCTAAATATTTAGAAAGAACGGGGTGTAGGAGGATACAGTACTTTTTAAAACATGGAAAAGATAAAGAGCAGCCTCTAAATGTGCTGACATGTTGGAGAAGTCTTTTTGCTGCAGCATGAGTGAGCAAAAGGGCTTTTTCCTTTTGTTTGGAAAACGTTTGCTTATTGAAGATGATTTAGAAAAGTCAATGGTTAACTTTTAATTAAAAGAAAAAATGCCCAGCCAGTTCAACTGGCACATGGAGGACTGCAGTTGAGAAGAACCGCCACCACCATCCCCAGTGAAATAAAAATGAATGTTATCCCAGCGGATCTTGAGGGACTCGTTAGCACCCTGAAAACACCAATAACTTTAAGATTTTCCTTTAGCAAACACTGAAGTAGAAAAGCTTGCAGTGTGGACTGAGGGACAAGAAGCAAGTTGTCTTCAGCACGGTCTGTTGCTGAAAATGGCCTTCTGCCAAAATGCCCCTATATATGCCTGGTACATATATAGAGTTTCTGACTGTTCATTTTTAAGTTGGTTTATTCTGAAAAAGTGTCTTTTTTTCAATTTTTATCTTTTTTTATGCTATTTCATTCTCAGCTGTTTGCTACCTTTTCCTTTCATGTCCTCTCCGTCTGGAAGATGGTGCTGCAGTTTGGGAGCCATCAGAATAATTAAGATGGAGATAATCAAGGCTTTGTTGTGAGGCACCACAAGCAAATTCTGTGCTGCCATCTGTGAATAGCAGGAGTTAAACATCAGGTTCCCCCAGGGTTTCTGCTTTAATCTGTTTTCTAGGGACCTTCTTTTGGGACCCCTGAAACGTTCCTATGTTTCGTTTCGTTGCTCAGTTTTTTTAAATGCTGGTGTCGTGGTTTAACCTGGCAGGCAGCCAAATGCCACGCAGCCGCTCACTCACTCCCCCCCTCCAGTGGGACGGGGAGAGAATTGGAAGGGTAAGAGTGAGAAAAACTCATGACTTGAGATAAAGACAGTTTAATAAAACAGAAAAGGGAGAACAATAATGATAATGATAAAATATACAAAATAAGTGATGCACAATGCAATTGTTCACCACCCGCGCTGACCGATAACCAGGTAGCGATCGGTACTTCCTGGATCACGCCTACCATTCATATACTGAGCATGACGTCACATGGTATGGAATACCCCATTAGCCAGCGGAGCTGGCTGTCCTGATTATGTTCCCTCCCATCTTGTGTACCTAGCTCAGTCAGTAGGCATGGGAGCTGTCCTTGGACTAGGAGGGCACTTAGCAACAACTGAAAACATCAGTGTGTTATCAACATTCTCCTCATACTAAATCCAAAACACAGCACTAGCAAGAAATTTACCCCTATCCCAGCCGAAACCAGGACATCTGGTTTCAATAATTACCAAAACCTGGTGATGAATTGGTACACCAAATAGAATTTGACCCGTGAGTTGCCAGGTAGAAATGTAATTCACTGTGTGCAGTTTTTTGGAAAAGGTCAATGGGCGTAGATGTTATCAAAGTTGTTTTCATTCAAATCTAGGATTACTGACAGTTTTTCAAAGACTGTGATATATTTGGAGCATTAAAGCAGCACTCTATTAGTGGAAATACATGCTCATATCATGCTTGTTTAGATCATGACCTGATTCTTAAAAACATTTGAGTTTGGTAGTATGTCATTCTTAAACGCATTATTACCCTATAAATTGCCCTTGGTTTTAACTCTAATACAGTTACTTTTTGACTTGGCGAAGTGCCTTTCTGATGGCTGAACTTAACATTTCTTCTATCTGCTGCCATATTCACATTCTCATACCCAATTTATTCTTTTCTTTGCAGATCAGGAAAAATGTGATGATGATGAGATGGAGCGACTTTACAAGTCATTAGAACAAGCGAGCCTGTCTCCCATTGGTGATCGTCGGTTGTCAACGAAGAAGGAGCTTAGGAAGTCATTTATCAAACGCAGCAAAAACCCCTCCATTAATGAGAAACTCCACAAAATTCGAATGCTGAACAGCACATTAAAGGTGAGGTTGCTAAGCGAGCCAAGGAAAAGCCTGAGAGAAAGAAACAGTTTGGATGAAAAAAGAAGCAACCCTAGACTTCAGCCAAACTCTAATTACATATTTACTTAAAGCCCCAGAGAATTTGATTAAGTTTTTGAAATTGTCTTCTACTTCATTCTGAATACTGATCCTTGTTTTGTTGTTAAATTTGAACTGGAAATGAACGCAATAGTTCAGAAGGGACCCTTCTTGCAGAAGTTCCAGCCCATTTGGAAAATTTAATAAAGAAAGCTTCTCACAGTTAGCTGGAAAACTTGCAAGCTCGGCTGAATGCACTAAACAGGGGAGCCTTAAAAAAGGAAGAGCAAACAAAGTACGTTGATGATAAAGGACATGAAAATGACCCTGAGCCAAAAAAAGTTTTCCTTATGCGATTATTGGAGAATGTACAGGATGTGCCAAAGCTGTAAAGGCTTTGTAAAGGCCTCCTGTAACTAAAATATTTTTAATAACAAAAGCATCCTGCTTTTATGTTGGAAATATATAATGAACTGGAGCGGTGGAGGGGTCCAGGGGACGTTCCATTAAAGGGCCAGTAAATCTGTCTGGAATATGGGGATTTATTTATGAGGCTATTTACTCGCCAGCATCAAGTGTCACAGGATTTCAAAGCCTGCTTCTGAATGGTACTGAGGGAAACAGAGAGCTTAACCATAACATTTAAACTGTAAGGAGAAGAAAGAATAAATGCAAACCTGGGGCTTCACTTGTTCCTTTTTGTATGCATTAGAAGCAGGAATTGAGTATCTTGCTTCAAGTCCGTGTATTTGGCTTCAGGCATTGTATGCTGGAGAAATGCGTGAAAAACTTCTCCTATCAGCACAATCATTGACTTGATTATTAGTTGCAATAGAAGGCTTGGCTTTGGCACCCCGGCCTGTGTTAAACTTCCTGAAGATACAGTTGAAAAGATAAGTGGGAATATAGGCATTCTCCCTGTTGCAGGGCTTCCAGGCTCCCTATGAGACCTGGTGAAGTCTCTCCTCAGTATCAAAGAGTCTTCAGTGACATGGTGCTGACTATAGCAGTATTCATCCGCATCAGCAATAAAGTGAGCCCATCATATAACAGAAAGTTAGTTTTAAAAGTATGCCTATTTTATGAGACAGGAAACTAAATATAGAAAAAAACTGCAAAGTATTCCCCAATAGGAGCCTCCCTAATAAATTGAAGAACCAGTTAGTACAAAATGGAGTTGTATCTTGTGGGACAATTTCATTAGTATGGAGCTGAATGGAAGCCTAGAAGCCTTCCTGCCAGACATGAGCAAGGAGGACAGTTTTGCATTGATTTAGCACGGGAGTATTGTATAAGTTGTGATTAGCAGTGTTTATAACCTCAGGCTTGTCTAACACTTGTATTTAATGTGGAAAAATCATTTTTGGAGTGTTCATAATGTATAAAACGTGTTGATCTTTTTCTGCTTTCTTCAAACTAAGAAATTGGAGTATTGACAAGACAAATATAGCACAGACATTTTCGCACAGACATTTTCTCACAGACACAAACAGAGTGCTATACACAGCAGTGTTTAAGTTATCCTGTCTGAAAGGCAAATGCCTGCAGTGGGAAAGTTCCATATTCTTTGCATCAGTGGGATTACATGCTTTTAAAGTCAACTTTCTTAACATATAACATGAGACGTGAGATAATTGGAAATGATCTACTGGAAATTTAAAAATCAGAAAGTTTTGCATCTGATCCATATTTACTCTGCTTTAATTAAAACCCTATTAGTTTGAGACAAGTGATTTATGCAAGATTCAGTGCAATTTTAATTTTGGACTTTTGACTCCACATCTTTAACAACAGATTAATGTTGCTGCCACAATATATCATTAACAAAACATGCTTTGGATAGTTTGGAAGAGAGGGAAGCTGTGTGCAAGTTCATCACAGGCTTCATGAATGTGGGAAATAGATTTAGTGCTACAGAAAAATTCCACAGCATGGCTTTTTGCCACCAATTTTGTCCACTGGAAATATTCTTCTCTCCCTTCTACCTCCCTATCTCCTCGTCTTCTCTTAGGCTAACTGCACATATCTCTGCATCGATGCCAGAAGCCCTCTTGCAAGGGCTGGCACCAGGTCTTGAGGGTCGGACCTGTGTAAACCAACAACTGAACAAGTTTTTGTGTTTCAAAAGCAACTCAGGCATCACAGGGATTAGAGTAGTTGATAGTTCATTAGAGTAGTAGTGGGATACGGATGTGTGAGCATACTGTTGCTACTACCAGAAAGTGTTGTGGATGTGTGGGAGCATTTTCAAGGTGTTTTCAAGGCAGCCACTAGCACAGTGTCCTCAGGCATGATGAAATCGGTGGCAGCAGGAGAAGATGGTGAGAACTATTCCATTGCTTTCACATACAGACTGAGGGGATGGAGCTAGGCAAAAGCGGTAAAGGTTTGTGCAGCATGGTACCTCCATTAATTGTAGCTGCTAACTAGGGCTTTTCTACCCTGTGATCCACTGCATGGATAGGCCATAAGGGCTGGAAAAGCGAAGTGTTTGTTGTGTCAGAAAATGTGAGGACATCAATGAATATAAATACCTGAAAGGAGGGTGTAAAGAAGACAGATCCAGGCTTTTTTCAGTGGTGCCCAGTGACAGGACCAGAGGCAATGGGCTCAAACTGAAACACAGGAGGTTCCTTCTGAACATCAAGAAACACTTTTTTACTCTGATGGTGACTGAGCACTGGCACAGTTTGCTCAGAGAGTCTGTGGAGTCTCTCTCCTTGGAGATACTCAAAAGCCATCTGGACATGGTCCAGGGCAGCCTGCTTTAGGTGGCCCTTCTTGAGGAATGGTGTTGGACCGGATGACCTCCAGAGGTCCCTTCCAACCTCAACCATTCTGTGAATCTGTGACATAAAGGGTCTCAGTGTCCCTATATCAGTGACTATTCGTGTCTTATGATTGAACCAGGGTGCCTGCAATATATGGTCTGACTTGCTCTTGTCTAAAAGTAGAGACAAGATTTGTTAGTAGTAGCTGGCGGTAGATGTATTAGCAGCCACATGTGCTCTATTCACCCATAAACTTTACTGTCAGTGCATGGATTATATCCAAAATTATTTTCTGTCTAGCTCCCAGAGAAGGGTCATTTATAATATGTCCAGGGATTAAGTATTTTTTGAGAAAGTTGGAATTGGTGTGAATTACAGAAGTAAATGCTGTTGTGTCCAGTTTCATGCAAGTACTAACTTCTTGTGAGACAGCGTAACGACGTCTAATTTTCACGTGAATCCTCTCTCATGAAGTTTTGCTAAGATTCCTATAAAATAAAAAATCTACATGAAATCATAATCTTGCCTTCAACTGGGACAAATTTCTGCTGTGGGTTTAACTTTCATAGTCTATGTTCTAAAAATGGGAACAAGTTGCCAGGAGGATGGATAATCTCTCCTTGTGACAGGGTTCTCTAATGTTCCCAGAGTGTTTTTGTTATGGACAATGAACTTGACAGTTTCTGTGGAAAATAACCACTTGTTCTCTTTCCAGTGTAAGGAACATGACCTGGCCACAATTAACCAGTTGCTAGAGGACCCAAAGTTGACGGCAATGAAGTACAGAGAGTGGAGGAACACAAACATCATGCTGGTCCAAGATATCTATCAGCAGCAGGAGGTCCAGGACATGTCCACAGAGAATAGTGAGGAGCAAGAGATGACTCCACAGCCTATCACTGAAAGTGCTATCTGAGGCTATTGTCTGATGGTTCATGGCAAGATTTTTCCCCACGGGTCTTCACGACAGGCACTTTAAACTGTTGCATTTTGAGGTTTGTTTTTTCCAAGTGTTCTTCGAAAGGAAAACAACCCCGTCTCCAAAGCTTTAATTCCTCTTGCAAATCTTATTTCATGTCAAAAGGGTGAATCCCCCAAATTAAAAAAGCATGCCTGAACCTGGGCTACATACCTAAGAAGACTATTTTATGAAACAGCGAAGAAATGTTTTTCCACCTTGGGAGAAGTAAATTAAATATGTCCAACTCCTGGAAGTCACAGAACTGTATAATATAAACTGTATAAATGTGAGATAGATTGTTTTACCTATGTAACTTAGTGTTAAAGGAAGCTACAACAATGCCAACAGAATGTAGTCTACTTTCTACCTTTTTACCCTGTAAGGTAACCTGATGTATGCATTTTCATCTCTACATTCATTCACTTTCACCACTCTACCAGTTTAAACTGAGACAAATAGAATAGTAATTATGCATGAGTTTATACTACAGACAGCTGGCAGGCACCCAGTTTGTGCTCTGCCTGACGTTTTATGAGTTTCAAATTTATTTATGGACTAGACCGAGGTACTGTCTTTCTACATGAAGAAGAGAAGGTCCCTCAATGCTTGCTAACATGTAATTTACTCTTCAGTGAGGCAGCTGATGCTTCAACAAGTTTCAACTTTTCTTATGGACTTGGCAGAATTCCTTGGAAGATTATTTTCTTCTTTCTTATTTTTGACAATTGTGAATATATAAGGTACAAGTTCATCCCAGATTCCTACTAGGAAGGTGATCAAGTTCACAAGACAGAAGCTAAATAATTAAATTCCTGATGTGGACCTGAAAGTGTAAAAGCTGCAACTATTTTTGTAAATATATGTCATTTTATGGCTTGTATGAATGTGACTATGTACTGTATATATGTTTTATTTATATATTTATACATACTGGATTTCCTAATGTAGATAGGCACACACAGACCAGACCCACCCAGATGAGAGTGCTTACAGGTTGACTTGAAATGCCTCTTTGTTTTTTTGTTCCATTATGAATCACAGTAATGGCTCTACAACTAAGACTACTCTGGGACATCTGCTGTAACTTTTTCTTCTGTCTTTCTAGCTTTGAATTTTAGATGAAGAAAATCTGTACAACTTAGGGCAGGAAAATAAATTTTCTAGAAAGTTTCAGGATTTCTCTTTGGGCAAACAAAAATAAGTATGTTAAGAGGTTTTGCTGAAGGATCATAACTTTTTGGCTTCATTGTCCTCAGTGCAAGGTTTGGTTTTTTTGCCTTCCCATCTTCTGCATGTGTACAAATATGAGGACCTTTGCAGAGTGATGAATTTTTAAAGGCAAGAGTTAGCCCGCCATTCTCAAATTCATGCCACTACAGGAACTGTGGCAATCTGCGCTTCTGTTGGCTATTTCGTGAAGATATTCTTTGTCATTACTTTTCAACACAGTTTATCTTTTAAAGCAAAATACACTATACAGATGCAGCCATATTCACCTGTCTTTATACATTATATGTTTTATCATAGCTTGACTGAGAAAACAAAAGTTAATAGTGTTAGTGGGAACGTGAAATCTTTTCCACCTGTGTAGCGATAAGTCTGACTGTTGTTATTGCATTTTTAACACTCAGCAGCTTTTCTTTTAAGTTAAGAGACGTGGAATTATGTCCCATTGCACCAAAAAATGGCAGTTAAGGCTGTGCTGAGTGTGAGAATGGAGGAGCAGATGGTAAGCTATAAGAAGGGGGAAATAGAAGGAAGAATGTAGGCTCCTTTGATACAAGCTTTAATGGGAGAGGGTCAGGGGAAATGGGGGCTGGTTGACTGCAGAAACAGGGCTGTGCTTGGGATAGCATCACTGCCTTGGGTATAAAAGGGTTTGGGAGTGTGAGGGCAAGGGCTGATATTGGGGCTAGTCTGCTGGTGGAGAACAAATGTTAGCTGAGACCTGCAAGTGGGTGACAACGACTAAATGGGGAAGCAGACACAAAACTCAGGTTGGTTAAAAAGCTATTGTTTTCAGGAAATTGTCATATAAGCAGTGATTTCATCACTTCACTAATCCTAACTAGAAGTTGATAGAAATTAAGCAAGCTCAATACCTGTTGCAATTTGGTTTAGAGTAATCACTTCCTAAAAATTGAGCCCATTTTAAGGTTTTTTATCTTTCACCGTTCCCAGAAGACCCTCTGGACAGTGGGCATCTGTGAGTGTCCCACTCCTGAATGAAATTCTTCAAAGCAGATGCACAGGTAGGAGAGGGATAGCCCCTGAATTTCACGTGATGTCAATTAACCGCTGAGCACACACTGAAAGTTAGGAGTGTAGGGGTTAATCTGCTTGGTCGATCCCAATTTTAATTACTTGGCGCTAAATAATTGATAAATAGTGGAGGTCAAGTTGAATTTCTCTTGCAGGTGCAGACCATTCAGTTTCTCATGAAACAAAGCATGTAAACACCATTTTTCTTCAAAAGCATCTTCACTTAGATCTTAAAAACAAGCACAAACTTAAAAGTGGCCTGTCAAACCGAGCCAGACTAGTCAGTGCCTTGCAAAGTTCTGAGCAAAGTCCTAGTCAACTCTGTTTGCTGAAGTAGATTTGCACTATACAAAGGAAAGCGCTATGTGGCCTGCACACGCTGTGTTGGCTATTGTGTAAGCATATAGGAAACAGGTTTCTCAAATACAGAGGCAGACAAATGTCCTCAAACTGCCCAAACTCTGCTACTGGTTTTGATGAGATTAGATAGCCTAAAACAGCTTTTAAATTACTCTCTCTCAGATGGTCAGTAGATACTTATTGTTGAACTATCGAGTTTTTGAAAAACCTGCTGAGGATGGGCTGTATCACCCTCTTTGAAAGAACAGCAAATTCTTGAATGGGATTACTTTAATGCAGTTGTTATTTTAACAAATTTCTGTGTGTTCAAGAAAACAAATGTATGAGTTTTATGAAAGTGCAGTGCTGGGAGTCTATCTCCATTCTTTTCAGCTACTATTTAGACCCAAAACAAATGGAAAGTGGGTGAAACGTGAAGTGAAAATTGTAGTAAAACAGGATTCATTTTCCAGCATTGCTAATTAAGGTGACAGTTTTGACCTGGTGCGGGATTCATCACAAGGGGCTGCACAGCAACGTGAAAGCCACAGTCGGAGAAAGAAGCGTGCACAAGCCGACAGCTGCAATTAGTGGATGCAGCGGGGAGCCACCTTAGCAGGAGAAACTTGGACAACTCTGTGCTCCATAGTGACCCTTAGGGCGAATGGTATCTGTTGGTCTGAATTTGGAAGGCCTGCGCTACTGACTCATAGTGTAGGTGAACTGTGCATCCCTAGTGAATGTCCAAAAGTCTTTAACCGTCTGCCTCATGGGACTTGTTTTATGTACTTTTTCAGGAGAAAGTGTGTATGCGTGGATGTGTGCACATCACACTTATTCCTTTGCCAGTAAAATACCATTCCTTTTGGTATTGGTGCAGTAAGTCCAGCTATGCAGATTTTGGAGTAACTAATGACAATATCTAACTTCAGCTGTTTCTGCAGCCTGTCTCTGGTGGCTTTTCTGGAACATGGATTTCTCTGTTTTGGTGGTGTAAATCTCACAAGCTACCAGAATGAGGTGGGATCACATTTCCTTTCCTAAGATGGGAAAAGTTTCATGTGGGGACTGTGAATCGTTTCTGCATCTAGTTCTGATGATTTACTCAATACTGGGTTTCACATGAAACAGGAATAAGCAGGAATAAATAATGTGCTACAGCCTTTTATTTTTGCAAATAATTTTCTTTTTGGAGGAAACCTTCATACTGAGAGAAAAGGCTGTTTTGGGACAGCCAAGAAAGGAGGGGAAGAAAAGAGGTGTTATTTGATTGAAAACTATGTAGAATGTCAGAATTTAAAATTATTTCTAACTAGGAAAAATTATGGGCATGTTGTGTCTATTGTGTGAGCCTGTAAACTTACATGTCTATTACAGATTTAATATAAAAACTTGTATTTTTTAACTCTTAAAGTAGCAAGGGAGTCCATGTAAGCATACTTCTATGTGAGGAATGCCATGTACTGTGGTTGAAGTTTGGGGTTTGGGCTTTTTTTGTTGTTTTGCTTGTTTGGTGGTACAAAAGTGACCAATTGCAATGAGGGCCTGGGCTTACTTCATTTATATGAGACATGTCTTTCTGTTAACAGGAAGCCAAAGTGGTTTTCTTGTTGCAGTAGAGCCAAAGTGGTATTTCCTGTTTTGTACGGGCATTTTGAAGCAGCAGACAGTTTAAGATGTCAGTCAGCTTTTCATTGACGGCTTGAAGATTTATCCCATTTTGGTCTGCTTCAAGCTGCTACGTTCTTGCATTTTTAAGAACTGGCTTCATTATTAACTAAAACAAAAACCGAGGTGAAAAAAAGAACAGGAAAAATAGAAAAGAAAAGCTCTGAGCTAAGATCAGGCTGAAATTCTTGTCTCTGTGTATAAGGGTAATGGGAGCTAAGCTTGCCAAAAGCTAGGCACTTCAACAGTGAAAAAAGACTGTCAGGTGTTGAGGAGAGTACTACATTCCTTGAAATTTGCTATGGGAGAAGTTCCAAGACCTGTCTGCTCTGGAAAAATGAATATTTTTCTAATTTATTTCCTCCTGGTAAAAATCCAAAGGGAGTGGTTTAGAAGCAGGCAGAAAGTTAAAAATGAGATATGCATGTAATTCATTGATAGTTCATCAACTTTGATGTATTACCTTGAAATGATTGACTTTAAACGACTCAGCCTTTAATGCAGAAAATCCATTTCTTTGGGAAACCACTGTAGCTACCACAGTGTCTGAGGCTTATGTACCCCATCTGGTCCACATGAGGTCCATTTTGAGGATGTAGGTGTATGGCATTTCTATAGGGCAAATAGCTTAATTCACCCTACCATAGCTTAGGAACCATGTGAACTCTAACACTCCCTGTATCCTA